CAAATCTAGCCCAAGGACCAAGTTAATATTATGCTGACTAAGAGAATACAAAGGACGGCTTACCTAGCCCAAGGACCAAGAGGTCAAGATGAGGGCTAGGGTCGCTACAGTGGGGTTTATATACTGAGTCAGGGGAGCCAAACATGTACAAACGTAAAGGTGGTCTGTGCGCACGTTAGTGCCAGTCTGCAGGTGGGGGTCAGGTGACTGGTCACATGCTTCTAACTACTGGTTCTAAGTCTAAGTGTCGTACAAATGGCCGTAGAAAATAAGGGAAAATGCGGAAAAATATAGGGGTCTCGTCGTCTCCACGACACTCTTGAGCGTATTACCGCCCCGGGGCACGCCCCGCGCAGCCGCGTCCATTCCTCCTCCATCCCGGCGCGAGTGGCTTCGACCCGGGCCTCCAACGCGGGTACCCCAACTCCAGTGCGGCCTGCGGCGCGACACGCCTCCAGCGCGGCGCGACATGCCTCGGGTCCGGCGGTTTGCTGGCCTCAGAAGCGGTGGATGCTCATCACCGTTCCGCTTGAATGCTATGCCCGTACATGCTGTACTTGGGTCACCTCGTGTCAGCAAAAGACCCTGTGTGCCAGCGAGCGATCGTCGGAGTTGTCTCTATATGTCGAACTGCTCAGTGACCTGGTGACGGACAATTGTCAGCGATGAGATCTAGACCCTCGAATAGATACGCACGATCTGCGCTTGGTACAATTGGGGTTGCGGCGAGGTCCATCTTAGCATTCGCGAGACACGAGGGTCTCGCGCAGTGTTGCTTTCGAGACCTCGCGGCAGACTGATGTTTTTTGCCAAAGCGTGATTGGCATCATGTTCGTCCCCATCGGCTAGAGATTTTTGTCTATATAGTATGTTGCATCTATATGCTGGCTGGCCGCTCTTGCGAAGCCTGCGTCAGTGTACATTTCTTGTGGCAGTGCTAGTGTTTTATATCATGAAGTCATGCATCTTGGGCGGGACCGAACGGCGGACGCTCCTGTGCATTGCAAGCTTGACGTTCGTAGCGTCGGGGACACGTTAACATGCACACTCATCACCGAACCTGCCGGAAACAAAACGAAAGTTCAGCGCAGCTCTCTAGCAGTGGAAACACTATTTAAAATAATCGGGCTCGCGCACCCCTCCGCCAGCCGGCGTATCAGCAAGCGTAGGCTGAAAGACGGAATAACCAGCCGTATGATGAACGTATGAATCGCACCTCATCAGCGTCTCAGCGCCATACCCTACATTCTATACCCCTCAGCACCCAATCTCCATCGGCGGCTTTTCCACGACCTCCGGGCCCGCCGCGCGTCGGCCGCACAGCGCCCTCCGCACGCGTTTCGAACCGACGACGCCAGCCATCCCAAGCACTGCCGTGCCCACCGCGGTCACCACCCCGCAGAAGACAATGAGCGTGCGGAAGTGGGTCTCGTCGGTTTGCTTGAGCAGCGCGCCGCCCGTTGGGGTGCCGACGAGCGTCGCGACCCCAACGACCATGTATAACGACCCTGGTACGGCGTCGTGTGAGCGTTGAGTTCGGCGCGTAGTGTGAAGAGGAGAGGAGGAGAGACAGACCTAAGCGGGCGCCGAACTTTTCTCTCGGGGAGATGGTTGCGATGTAGGTCGGCACCAGGGATACGAAAGCACCTGGGACACATGTGGCGTCAAAAACCGTGCGATGACACTCGAGAGCGGGAAGTACCTGAGAACAGCCCGTACAGGGCTGCGAACGCGACGATGGCAGCGGTGTTTGTCGAGGGTAGCCAGAGCCCGAGAATGAGCACGGCGCAGACCGCGGCGCAGGGCACGAAGACGTTGAGCCTGCAGGGGAGGTCAGATGGGGTATTCCAGCAGTCTGGCGCGCGAGCACTCACGGTCCGACCTTGTCTGCGATGTATCCGGGAAGGATCCGCGAGGGGATGTTCATGGCGTTGAGGATCGCGAGGAGGTAGTGCCCGGTGTGCGCCGGGACCGCGCGGAAGTCAGCGTAGATCTGGATGTAGAAGTACGGGATGAAGAAGGTGTAGAAGAGCCTATCGCAAGGGGCGACGCGTTTGAGTATGGGCGCATGAACGTGCCATTAGCTACAGAGAGCACGTACAGGAAGGCGCCGATAGTGGCGAGCGTGTACCGTGGGTCTCGGAACCCGCCGAAGTCGATGGCGGTACGGAGGGAGAGGTTGCCCGAGAGCGGTAGTCGCGTGCGGATCGTCAGACACGAGACGGTGAGGCACGCCAGGAGGATGAAGGCCATGATGCGCACGGCCCATCCGAAGCCGACTTTGGGGATGAGCTGCTCGAGCAGGACAGGAAAAACGACGCCGCCGCTCGCGCTTCCGCCTGTGCTGAGTCCAATGACGAGTGCACGTCGCTTCCGGAACCAGTGGCTGAGAACGGCTATCGAGGGGCTGAAACTAGGCGGTAGGAAGCGCGAAATATTAACATACAGTCATATGTGAGCGTCGGAGACTTACAGCAGGCCTATTCCGGCACCGAAAAGGAGGCCCTGAGAGAGGAAGACCTGATATGCTTGGTCTTTTTGGCAGAGCGACACCATCATGAGCGAGAACACACAAAGAAATGATCCGAGGGGGATCATGACCTATGCGACGTAGTGAGCAAAATGCAAAGGCGTTGCTGTAGACAACGTCAAGGCTGACCTTGGTGCCGTACGCATCGAATATACGGCCTGTGAAGGTCCCAAACAAATACAGGAGGAATACTTGTAGGGACCCGATGAATGAAATTGTTGACGAGGATGAAGACGGCAGAAGCGTCGTTTCGTAGTAATCTTGGAATGTGCCCTATTGCGAGAAAGAGTTAGCATAGTTCGCGCTCGCACGTCCGAGAATCAAAATGCATTCCTGCGAATACTAACGTAGGCGTTGATCATCCCAGCGGATGCGAACAGAGCCAGACACGATCCCAAAACGACCGTCCAGGCCTCTCGCCCACCATCTGGGACATAGTCCAAATCCCGGATGGACGCCGCCACATCTCCCAATGCCTGCTGGTCGTCGCCGTCGAGGGAGGGACTTCGGGGAGTGCCGACGACGGTGCTCCGTTCCGTTTCCGGGTCTACGCCGAGCGCTTCTACCGAGCGCCTTCTCTCTTCGTGTACCATGTTGAGTTTGGGGCTGTTTGAAGTTGAGGGAGATGAGAGTGCTAGGCACAGTGTTGTATCCGCTTTGTACGATGGCTCGTAAAAATTGAGCAGAAAGATCCGGTCGCGGAGGGCCTGGGGCACTCAAGTCTGACTCAGACGAAACCCACAGCAGGCCCGAGGTGCGGACGGAGTGCAGTGTGCCGGACGCTGGCTACTCAATAATGCATTATAGCCGAGTGCACCATCTGATTGGTTTGTGAGGAAACGAATACTTGCATTGCTAAGGCAGAAGAGCATGTGTGTCCTAGAGCGTCTTAGCGAAGGCATGGGAGCGCTTTTCGTTCTGATGCCATACCGCGAGAATATGACGCTTGTGTGGACGATTCCACTGGTAGCTAACAGCTGGGCGACTAGTACTTGAGCGTCCGACGCAAGTCCGACGTGATGTTCGCACCTTGGGAGCCATAAAGCCTAGGTATAAAATATCGCGGAATTTACTGGCGGCTTCGATCCGCGGCCAGACTTGTTCAAACTCTTCAAGTGCGAGTCGTCGACCTGCTTTTCGAGGCTCCTGACGTCATAGCATGCTTGCACCTGCAACTGTGCGACATCACCTGTCTCGTCATGGCACCAGAAGAAAGCGTCGACGCATGTTCACATGTACCTGCGTCGCTTGAGGACTATGTCGATTGAGTCTTGCTGCCTTTTCTATTCTGGTTTTCACCTCGTGTCTTTGGGGGGCCCAGGCAGTGGTCGGAATTGGGCCGGCATCGGGTCGGACTGTTCGCTATAGGCGCACGTCTTCCTCTGCCTCCGAGCGCTTCAACGTTGAGATGGTGTGTTTGAGGTTGGCATGGGGTGGCTTTAAAATTGCTGAATGACTTGTATTGACCATTTATACCACACGCCTTCAACGAAGAGGTTTACTGAATCCAGAGAACGTCAGCTGAATGCGATATGAGCACTAGTACTTCTTGCTGTCTTCCGCAGATTCAATCCTCTGATAACCCTAACCACTTCCGACATTCCACTAACTCGTCCTGTTTGGATGTCAGCAGCAATCTACACAGCCCATACGAGACGCACGTACGTCAGAAATCCCTAACACGTCTCGGATGTCGAGTCGGACTCCGTGCGCCGCCTTCCTCGCCGCCTTCTTCCGGGACTTCTCGTCCCTCTTCTTCAGCGCGCGTCCACGCCCATCGAACTTGGCTGTCTTGTATCGCCGTGCGAGGACCTCAAGGACACCCTCGATGAGCGCCGCCGCCGTGAGCAGCGAGATCGGGTACCGCAGCATGTCGGCGTCTGCACACAAGTACGCCACCGTCAACTCATTAACGCTCACCCGAGACGCACCGATCATGACGGAGAGAACGCACCAAGCAGCACATTGCACAAGATCGTCCACGCAGACTCCTGTGTCTCCGCCCACCCGCCGTCGAACGCGACGAGCAGCCGGAGCGTCGGAAGCGCGTCCCATAGCTCCGCCATGAACGCGCCTGGGGTAGCGCTCCCGACACGGAAGGCGAGCGCCTCGAGCACGTCACGCTGTGCATTTTCGAGATCGTCGAACGTGAGCGCGTGAGGGGCGAGGTCGAGATACTCATGTGCGTATATGACGTCAAGCGGGTAGAGGACGTCGCGGTGGAACTAGCCGTGGGAGAGGAGGGGGTGAGCGGCCACGGTGGGACAAGGCAGAGTGAGAAGGCTCACCTTCACGCTGATCGCGAGACATGCGACGGCGATATCCCATGCGACTGATTCGAAAGCTTCTGCGTCTTCGTCACGGCCAGTTGACGTTGACCCAGTAGGGTGACCAACGAGCGAGAAGTACCTGAGGAAGAGGTGACCGGCGTGGAAGCGTATCTCCGACGATTCAAAGAGGATGTCGTAGAGGTCGCCGGCGACACAGGTCGCCTCGCTCTCGTCCGAAGGCATGACCTGCTTCCCTAATCAGCGCATACATCGAGCTCACAGAAATAATACGCACCTCGATGATCCAATCCATACATTCTTCGAGCAAGTTTTCACCGATCCCGAGCTCGATGGGAGCGGAGGTAGTTCGTGCGCGAGATGCAGGTTTCGTTGATGAAGTGGCAGGACCTTTGCCGCATGCTCTCACTCTGTACCGGCATTCGCGGGCCTCTTCCTCCGCCAGCCACGTCTCGACATCATCTTCGTCCGGGCAATCGCCCGTGTCGTCCATCCAAAATCGCTCCTCCTCGTCTTCAGCGCGCTTTATCTTCGGCGGACGCTTCGAGGGTGGCTCCTTCATATGCAGTCCGTCCGCGCTCATGTGCTTGAGCTCCTTTTCCAAAAGACACGCAATGCGCGCCTCCGCACCCTCTTCCGCGGATAGCGGCGCGCGGGGGATGAGCTCGAACGGAGGGGGCGCGACGATGGCGATGTTGGCGAGGCCGTCATTCAGGGCAGCTTTGGCCCGCACGGTGGGGGTCGTCGGCACAGTAGCCGCATAACCATCAAATGAAGAGGTCGTTTCTTTCGGAGTACCTGCTTCCGTGGCGTTCGCGTTCGGGCTGCGGCCAATTTTGCGCAACGGAAAACAGGGCAACAAATTCTGCGAGAGATATTCATCGCTCAAGCTTTGTTTTGCGATGGGAGGATAACATACCTCGTCTCGTGTTCTAGCAGATCCGCTCACACCGGGAACCAAGTCCGAGCGCAATGATTCCGCGCGTCGCAAACTGCCTGGGCCCTTGGCGTATCGACGACCGAATGCTCCAGAGAGCCCTGTAACGTGAGGCTGCACGCTTCGCCTTTCATTGGCAGAGAGACGATATTTCTTCCGCATGCGTCCATGGAGTGCTTCATGATTGAGAGATGAATCCGACCGGGGCCGTTTTTCTGTCGCTGGAGATCCGTTATGTGCAGCTTTTGCAGAGGGCTGGATAGGTTCCCCGGGCGGACCGGACTTTGCTGCAGAGACAGAGGCAGAGGCGGAGGCAGAGACGGAGGGAGACTCTGCGCCAGACTTGAGTGTAACGGGATCACAGGAGGGTAGTGCGTCGATGAAGGTCGGGACAGAGTCGGAGCGAGCATCGTCGAGAGACACAGGGCGAGATGACGGCGCATTAAGTCGTTGGTGTTGAACAGCATGTAGTAGACCGTCAAGTCGCCTAGAGAAAAGAGCCTGCCCAGTCTCGGTGTCCAAGTCGTCGCGCTGCCAAGCTACGGGCCAGTCCAGTTCAGGCTCGCTGTACGGTGTCTCCGTGGACCCAAGATCCCTAAGATTGTCAGAGCCAGACTTTTTCGAGACGGATTCAGACTCTCCCAGATAGCCCTCTTGCGAGACGGTGGAGGCAGAGTGTTCATGAGAATCAGCATCGGGGGGCGTCTCTAGTGCCGGTGAAGATGATTGGGGAGGCGAGTCCGAGGGGGCGGCTATATGCGCATCATAGTCCATATCGTAGCAAGGGGAAGAGCTCTCCATATCTCCAGCACAGCGCAGAGGTCAACGTTGGGACGACTACTAGTACCAGCCAGCACAATTCGAGGAGGAGGACAGGATCAAGTTCCAAGAGGTGAGTGAGTCCGACTCTCAGAAAGATCGGGAGGTCGCTGAGGAAGAACGGATCCAATGTGATACGGCGCTGTCTTACCCACGGGCAATTGGCACAGTGGTAGCGCGCACGCTTCGCATGCGTGAGGTCCAGGGTTCAATCCCCTGATTGTCCAATGTTTTTGTCTACTGAACCTGCGGTCGGAACTTGGTGCATTGATGAAGTCCGGCTTCGCACAACCCTCTATTCATCACCTCGACGAGTGCCAATGAACTACGCCAACGTCAAGTTATGGTGCCGTCAATGAGATTGACGGGAATGATATACATCCTAGAGGTGTTCCATAAAATACAGTCCAGTAAGCTTGAGGTATCGGTATCTTCGCCTGGTTCACAGATAGAACATGGTATCCTTCAGCGATCCGCCAACGCCGTTGGGACTCTTGTCGAATCGCCACAGCTTCTTCGCCTCGGTCATGACTTCTTCGTTGCCGTCATTCTTTCCGCTTCCACTCGTCGCCGTCGTTCCAGAATCAGAGATACCCTGCAAGAGCGAGATGATGTAGCACCTGCCGCGCTCGCACGCGAGGTCGGCATAGTAGGCTGGAGAAACGAGGCTGACCGCCTTGGTCGCACGCCCAAACATATAGCTGATATCGTTGGTGAGGACCTGCAATTGGTCTGCGCCGATCCCAATCTCGTCTCGGACGACGTAGTAGTGCGTCGGGCGCGTCGTTCCCTGGAGACCTGCCCAATGACATGCGAGTCACCATCGAGGTGGTGGAGCAGAGAGCGAGGACACTCACCTCCATGCGCTTGCAGGAAGAAGTCGTACTCATACACAGCCGTTACTCCTCTGTCGACAACGGTTCCCGGCTTGGGGTTTCCGTCTTGCGCGGCATGGGCAACGTCGGTGGGGAAGAATCGGGTGTGGTGTCGTTTTCCGCAAATCACAATAGTGAGCAGCGGGTTATAAGGCCTTCCTGGAGCACTGAAGCGTGCGAACGCAGCCTTCATTTGTGGCATTTCTTCATCGAGGACGATCTTGAATTGTCCCTAAAGCGAAGCTTTCAGAGACTAGTTCGATATGTCAGGATTAAAGAGAATACCTCAGATACACCGTCTCGATAGACCAGTACACGCGACGGTAGCATGTTCTGGTTCTGGCCCATGAACGCGAGGAGACGTTCCTCCATCATAGCTCGCAAGTCGGTAATCATCTATCCGGACGTTTAAAGAACTGTGTGAGTTTCAAGTGACAGAGTGATAAGCCTGCCGAATCACCCACCTCCTTCTTTGACTCCTGCAAGCGCAAGCTCGCAGGAAACTGGGCCATACGATGGTCAATAGTGCCGACGACCGCGGCAATCGACGGCGTGCCCCGGACGGTGCCTGCACCAGGATGCGTCACGTCCATTCCTACGAGCATCGTCGGCTGGCTGTTCAACCACGCCGTATTCTGCTCGCCCAGCTCGTGGTTCACTCCGCCGAGCTTCATGTTGAACTTGAGCGCGACGTTCGCGAAATATTGTGGCTGGCCCTTCTCCTTGCGGAACTTCGCGGCGTGCACGCACACCGTCGCCACGTCGAGGTACACATCGCAGAGGTGCTTCAAGCCCGAGTACACATGCCGGTCTCCGTTCGAGAGGATGACGAGCACGATCTTCGGCTTCGACTTCATGGTCGTGAGCACGTTGCGAATTTGCTGGATCGCTGCCTTGCGCAACGGGTCCTCGGGCCGCTTAGGCGGTAATTGCACCTCGACGATGGCCGGCTTCGCTTGGTCGACGTTCATCCCGCTCCGCCGGCACATATCAGCGAAGCCGGACACTGTCCGGTCCAGCTCGGGGTCGTTAGGCCCTTGAAACTCGTCGCGCCGGTTCCCGTCCTGGATGAGCAAAACTGCCCACCTCTCGAGGCGCGCGCCGATGGAGAAGCGCACCCCACGGAGGTTCCACGAGGCGCGTTCGTCGACGCCGGCTAATGGTCCGCCCAGGTAGCGTACCACTGGAGGAGGAATAATACGCCCGGGGACGACCGCCATCTCAGACCCGATGGAAACGCCGAACGAGCTCAGCGGGGGAGGGGTCTGTGCGAAGCCGAACTCGTGGAGGCCGCGCCCGACGATAGCTTGCGCGTTGATGTTCGGGGGCTGGCACGCAACGGTGATCATGGCGGCCGTGTGCTCGTCGAGGAGCTTGCCCTTGAACGGCTGGTTCTCTAGGATGATGCAGACCTCGGCCGGGAGAAAATTCGAGTTCTGCCCGCCGACGTCGATGAGCGGTAGGTCCGGATACCGGAGACGAATGTTGTATTCTGCTCTACAGTCAACATAATCCCGCCGAGTTGAAGACATTGCTACTCACTCTTCACAAAGTATTCTTCCACGGTGACCTCGCCGAGGTCTTCCACCATGAACTTGTGTTGCTGCGCGTTGACCTGCGCGACCGTCTTCACAGTCTTCCGGTACCCGAGATGCGTAGTCTTGACGCGAATACCACGGACGAACACCGAGGGGCGCGCGCCGTAACTCGCGTTCATGAACTCCATCATGCGCTCCGCGAGGTTGCCTGGCGTGTAGAACGCGGTCGTACACACGTTCACGTTCACCATCAGTTGTTTCCACGCTGGGCGTACAGAAGAAAAGAAGCCGCGCCATGCCTCGAGTCCGCCCCCGAGCGGGACAGGAGGGGAGGTTGGAGACGGGTGGAAGAACTTGTTCCGCCCGACCATGATACCGCCGCCAGTGGCGCGGTTGGGGTGCATCGCAAGGATAAGGTTCAGCGCGTTAATGACTGGCATAATATCGTGGTTCCGGTATTGGGGGTGTCCCTCTAGAAACCTTCACGAGCGAGGTGGTCAGTAGAGGGAGGCGCTAGACCCGAGGCACATGAGACGAGACTAAATTAGATGAGGGGAGCAAGAAAGGAAGGAGCGCAACGCAAAATGGTGTGCTCTTCCCTTTGCATGCCCCTTATATTAATGGCGGTGGAAGGTGGTGGTCGGACCGAGAAAGAACAAGCACTTACTTGGTCAAGGGCTGCGTATCGATAGGCTGCACGTAGTTGATGTTCATGACATAATCCTTGGGCTCTTTTGGCTTCTCGTCGTCCTCTGTTCCCTCCTCTGTATACGAGATAGTGATTTCCAACGGCTGGGGAATTTTGAATGAGGAGACGAGCTTCCCGGCACGATCATGCGCCACCCTGCCTGTGAGTTTTGTTTTCTTCCATACGTCGGTCTCCTCAGCCAATTGGAATATTCTGCGCTTCAGTTGCCTGTTGGCTACTGTGGGGGTGATAGCGACGGCATATTCGTAGATGGGCCCCTTCGGCACGTTGATGGGGAAGAAGTTCGCCCTCAGCTTGATGGGTTGTCCATAGGCACCAAAGCCAGGTCGGGAAGGCAGATCCCTTTCGCCTATCCTTAGCGTCTGGAACGACGCTATGAGCGCGTCTTGAGAGTTATCCAGGGTACGCATGTCAACATTGGCCGGCCGATCTGGGGCGAAGACGCTGGTGGATTGCACGCGATCAGCGAGGTCGACCGAAAGTGATATTTAGAGCACCTTACCCTCCGGGTTCGCGCCCTCGACCGCGACCGCCAAAACCGCCTCTGTCCCCTCCTCGGAAACCGCCACGGTCTCCTCCACGATAGCCTCCGCGATCGCCACCTCTGTAACCACCGCAATCACCCCCGCCATATCCGCCACGGTCGCCACCACCGTACCCGCCACGATCGCCACCACCGTACCCGCCACGATCGCCACCACCATAACCGCCGCGATCACCACCATAACCTCCGCGATCACCTCCACTGTAGCCTCCTCGGTCACCTCCACCGTAACCGCCGCCGCGGTCACCACCCCGGAAGCCTCCGCGGTCGCCGCCTCGGTATCCTCCACGGTCGCCGCCACGATATCCGCCGCGATCGCCACCGCGGTATGGTCCGCCCTCTCCGGGAGGGCCGCGATATCCCCCACCCTCGCTAGGAGGGGGACCGTACCCAGGCGAACTTGGTACAGGGCTACCGCGACCACCGCCGCCACCAGGAGGCCCTCCTCGGTAGCCGCCCCCTCCTCTTGGCGCCCCGCCCCGTGGAGGTGCACCGCCTCTGCCTCGGTCCTGGCCGCGTCCGCGCTGCATGCTCCGTTATGCGTTGATTTGTGTACGCGGGATGCGTCGATGGTACTGGATGGGGGTCAAAAACAGGATAGCGCTCCGCCGCGGAGACTATATAACACAAGGTATGCTGGATCATTGATGAGCCCTCCGAATGCGGAACCGCCCAATATCCACATACCACATGCGCTGCTGTATCCGGAAATCGACACTCCCACGAAGGGTTCTTCGCGGACGCAGGGTGGTTGCTACCCTCAATTGTGCTTGCTATTTGCGGGGAGATGACGGATGACGGTGAGGGACAATTGGGGGGCCTAGGCACTCTACGGTGCGCCGCGCGGGCGCTCCGCAGAATTTCCCATGCGGCAAAGTCATGGTGGGGGCTTCGCCCTTCCTGGCTTCGGGTCTTCGAGTTCTAGTGAGTAGAAAGATAGTTAGGCAGCTATGACGTTCAGAGTGTACAAATAATAGAAGGCTTCCCCCCACGGTAAAATCATCCCCCCCCACGGATAATCGACAAATCCCCCACGTTAAACAGCCAATCCCACGGATTACGAACCCCAAACTAGGGTCATCTACCATAAGCGCCGGCCTCTAACGGTCTCGACCTGGCCGGAGAATCCCAGAAAAGGCCCCGATGACGGGCGCACGTGCCTCCTGAGTTCAGCGCTTACCGTTCCCCGTAGGGCGCTCATCGTCCCCGACAGCGCGCTCGTCGTTGCCGACGGCGGCGACCGCTTGGGCGGAGGCCTACCAAATTTGGTAGTACCTGCTACCTTACCCTTGGTTAAGGCCAGGGAGCTTAATTTCAGTAATTACGCTTCATTTTGAATGGTAAATAGTGTTATATTGAGTTCAAATGACCGCGGCCATCGCCCCAGGCAGCGTCGAGGGCGTCGGGCACGTCGGGCGCAATGGTCGGGGCAGTGGCCGGCCATTTCCGGACGGGCGCTACGGACTTGGTAGACCAGGAAGGGGGTGGGCGCTTATTCGTTTCCCGTGGGGGATTGATGTCGATTATTCCGCGTGGGAGACTTTTATTATTTGTACCATCTGAACGTCATAGGCAGCTGATGACTAGCAATCGGGAACACGTTGAATAGGTATGTACTTACCGGGAGCAGCATTACCTAGTAAAATATCGAGATCGATCGAGTATCGCTGAAGTAGAAAAATATCTTCATGGTTGGGCTTTGAAGACGGCGGATGAGGTGGTTCTGGAAGACGCACCCCACCGTGCTTGCTTAGAATGCGTGGCATCGTGGCAGATAGCGGCCCGGGAGGTTCTCGTCCACCATGCTTCACGATGGTCCTCATGCTCATCAAAGTCCACGCCCTGACCTGACAGACGTAAAAAGATCCGTAGTACCCCAGGATGAGTAGGACGAGCGCTATTCCGCGATAGGTGGTATGGAGACGTACGGTAGGTACACTTTTATGCCTCGTCAGAATGGGACGGTGCAAGTGCGGCGGTCTGCTGTCTTCGTACAGGCCGATCGTTGTGCGCGATGCCGTCCGTCTTTTACTCAGGGTCGGCCACCAAGGCTTCCGCCGTCTGGCGCAAACGAATATAGAATATTACGCTACAACAAAAACTACCTACAAATATGTGTCCAGCATATTACACAAACCTCCAGCTGTAACACAAGAACATACCTTATGCCACTGGTCCACCACACGACGTACCCATACCAGAGAAGTGTCCTCCACGAACCCCGCCCCGAGCCTAGTACTCCTGCACGTCCGAGAGCGACGCGTACTCGGAGGCAGACCGGTCGTCGTCATCATCATAGTACTCCTGCACGACCTCGCGCATCGCATAGCGCATGATCGGCGAGATCGGCACCAGCTTCGGGCCCAGCACCTCCTCCTCCTCGTCCCCGCCCAGCGGCGGCCCGTCCAGCAGCCGCTCGTGCGCGCGCAGCACCTCCTCGTCCGACATCGGCACCATCACGTCCTCCTCCGACCCGCCCTCCCCAAGCCCGGGCTCGTTCACGGCCGTCCCGCTGCTCCCCGCGCCCGGACCGGCGTCCCCGCCGAGCTGCGCACGCATGCTCTCGCGCACGCGCATGCTCTGCCGCAGCGGGTCCCCGAGCTCGCGCGACACGGGCTCCGTCCAGCGCAGGTCGAGGATGCGGCCCTTGACCATGCCGTCGACTGCACGCGCGCCGAGCTCGCGGCAGAGCAGGAAGTATGGCAGCGAGCGCGCGCCTGGCTGAGCAAGGCGGTTCATGACCTTCAGCAGCTGGTACGCGGTGAAATCCGCTTGGAATTCGGGCGCTTCGTCAGCGCTGCCGGCGTTGCTCGATGCGAACACGGCGGGCGGCGACTGGTGCGGGTTCGCTGTGAGCGGGCTGTATATGCGGAAGCCTGCGCCTGCAGCGGCGGAGGTAGGTGGCGAGAGACGGTGGACGGCGTGCGTGGAGGCGTGTCGGCTCTCCGGGCTGTTGGGCGCGTTCGAGGCGTCGGGAGCTTGGCCGTTGCTGGACGCCTGTGCCGAGTGGATGATGTGCAGGTTCAGCAGCGCGTGGGCTTGGATGAAGTGGGTGGATTGTTTGACTGGAATGGATTGGTCAGTCGTTTGCTCAACCTAGCATATGTGCAGTCTTACTGTCAAACTTGCCGTTGGTGTTTACTGAATGACGCCGTTAGTTAACTTCAAGGACACTAGACGAGCGCGGACGTACCGAACTCAGAGATGAAGTCCTGCCAATGCACGAGCTTCCCACCGAAGGCGTCGTATAGTGTCTCAAAGTCCAGCTTGCCTCGCAGATGCTCGGGTACACTCGGAAGAACGCGTTCACGGAAGAACTTCCGGGTCTCGTTCTTTGGATAGTCTCCGATTGTGATGATCTACCAGAGGGTTGGCGTCGGCGTTCACGTGAAGAGGAAACGAAGGCTTGCCTTGCAATGCTGCATGACGTTGAGCTGCCGCAGCCACGTCTGGTAAAACGGATCGCTCGTCGCATGTATGACATGACACAGCCTATCCTGCTTCGTGAGCACCAGCATTGCGTCCAGGATGCACTTCATCGCCTCAATGGAGCGGATCAGCGCCGGTCTGGGCACACGTCAGTACGGCCTCTCCACCCTTGCTGCCAAATTTACGTACAGTTTGTGCCCCTCGTCAATGAAGAATACCGGGATCTTCTTCGTAGGGGGCTCTGGCTTCTTCTCCTTCTCCGTCTCCTTCGTTTTTCCGCGATCGTCCGCTCCTGGACGGGCATCGCCGTTCTGGTGCGGGGTGGACGGCTGCTTTTTCCGCGAGAACATGCGTACGCGCCAGGACGGACGCTCCTTGTTCTTCTGCTGGCTGCCAGAAGAAGTGGATTGAGTGTCCTTCGAGGCAGGCTTCTCCGCATAAGACTCGGGCGATGGCTGGAAGTTCCAGTAGCGTAGAAGCGAGCTCTACACTCATTTGTGGTGAGCCAGCTGGAAAACAGCGGTCAAAGGACAAACTGACCTGGAATAACTCCATCAAGCGCGCGACGTCGCTCGTCTTGATATCGCCCAATGGGGAAGACGCTGCGTCGCTCGCTTGCGCACCTGACAGACGACGTTCGACGTTCAGTCGATCGTGCTGAATGCTATGTCAAAACGGTGGGGCATATACGAAGTGGGGGAGGTCCTACCTTGAATGCCCAAGCTTCCTTCTCGAACACTTCATAGCCGGGCATGTCTGGGTCTTGGGCGATACACATGAAGAATCCTTCCATCTGTTGGCTAACGGGCCTGTTAATGCGCGTGAACCGATATATGGCTGGGACGGCCGTACCTCAGGCTCATATACAGGCTAGCCAGGTCTGCGAAGCCGGCGATACGGAGATCGAAGTGCAATACGTGATATGTGGACCGCGTGAGCACTTGACGAAGGAGTGCAGTCTAAGCCTCACTCAGTACCATCCATAGAAAGTAGAGTCGAATCGAATGATACCTTGCCAACACTACTCGCACCGAAGAGTACTGTGAAGCTCGGCTCGCCCTCCAGCGCACGAGTGATCGCTTTCAGCTCGGCAGGGCGGTCGAAGAACCCAGGGAGGGCGGAGAACGTGTGCGTCGGGGTCAACTGGGCCCGCTCTCGTGCTTCCGCCAACTCCCTCCTTGTGTCCTCGAGCATCTTCTTCGACTCTGTCAACGACCGGAGCGTCTCTGATGGCTGCATCATCGACGAAAGAGACAAGCAAGAGCTGATTAGACACGTCACAGACGGTACCATAGCACGGCGCAGCGCGCGGCATGATGAAATGAAGGTACGCACATTCGCGAGGACACCGATAATCTCGCCGACGCCAAAGAAGTTGCGCTTGCGGACGTCGGTGGGCATGGGCATGCCGCGGCGGCGGGGGATGGTCGAGCGAAAGAGCCAGTGCAGCTGGATGGGGGTGCCTTGGCCCAGCGTGGCATGCACGCTCTGGCGGCGCGAAGCGGGGGGCGAGAGCGCGTGTGCGCGTGGCGTGGGGCCTTGGCGAGCGAGGACGGTGCTGCCGTGGTTGTTGACGGTCCTGCGAGGCATGCTATGGTGAGATCCGCGGGCGCTGGGAGCAGCGAAAGAAGAGCGGATGCGCTGGAGAGGATGGAGGATATGGAAGGATGGAGGAAGAGGTGCTGAAGAGATATGAGATACCGGTCTTATTAACACAAACCTCGCGCGAGACGTCTGGAGGCGGCAGGGCGTGCACGGCCACCATCCTGGCGCAGCGGATAGAGTTGGGGACATGTGCCCATAACCTCGCCAAAGTGGCTGCCGGCGAAGAGGGTGCACGTTGCAACGGCCAGGCGATAGTCTTCGGACCTTCAAGCTGTGAAATGGGGATAGGCTGCGTCCAGACAGGGGCAAAAATGCGGGGAGTTTCTGGGGATCGCTCGACGCAGCAGGCCAGTTTACGAGGACAGTGCGTGTGGTAGAGAGTCAGGATGAAGAGCAAGGCCAACACGCCGAAGGGCGACAAGATGACATGACGTCAATCCACGACTCACTACCACGTGGAAGAAGGCGCCGGTGCGAAAGCAGGTTGCTGCTTGGAGCCGACGGCCAGCTTATGGAACGGGGGGGTGTATGCAGTTGGTGTGATCGCCACCCCCGTCTGCCTAGGGGCGACAAGTATATGCAGCTCGTTGGATTGATTTTCGTACAGCGTGAGTGCAACAATTGCGGAGCTAGTTACAGAGTGTAAGTTAGATGGGCAGGAAGTAGGAACAGCATAGTTTGCGCACCTGGTACTCGGCACTATGTCTCCACCATATTCTTACAAAATATGGTGGAGTTCCATTTGCCGGTTTTAATGAGATCTCAGAGCACTGCGCCTCCGAGCGTTTCAGCAAAACACCTCAGGGGGATTACTAAGGAAGAAACTTGCCTGGGCACTCGAGCGAGGGGTGTGGTGTATAACACAACTGGCAGCGCTGAATATCGGGTGGGACCTAAACATCATGGAAATTTAGGTCTGAGCTTCCCTCGGGAAGGACTATGCAAACACTTTCTGTGATGTCGAAAGGAAGTAACTAGCATTGTTTTCGCGCCATTTTCCGCAACGCCGCCACAGAAAGGTGTCATTTCCCGCATCTTTAGGCCGATTATAAAGGCAACTCGGAAATGTTACTTTATCCTTGCCCAGAAAGGCACCTAGCCACCGAAAGGGGACAAAAAGATTACCTTTCAGAAGCCTTTCGGATGCCCTAGTAAGGTGACTGGGAGGTTAGCGTCCACGGACACCAGAAATTCATTTGATATGAATGATTTGTTGTTAATGAATGGGAAAGCACTCAGCGAGGTGAGCTCCGGGGGTCATTAACCCCGAATATGCCGGCGCGGAATGCGGGAGCGTTGCCAGTTGTGTAAGGACATCGTGGGGGGAGGACAAAAGGTCGTCGTGAGATCGGAGTTGGGTCGCGCATATATACCCTTGAGACGCGTTGATCACGTGATCGTGTCTCTACGCGGAGTTTGCCGGCTTGTTTGAAGCCTGTTGAGCGTCGCCTCTTCTTCTCGCCCTCCTCCTCGAATTGTGTTCCTGGTGATACCTCTGACGATGGCCCCGCATTGGTACGTATACTGGAGCCATGGAGAGCTTTTTTCATTTGTTACGATATCCGGGCGATACTCCCCAATGCCGATCCTCATCGACACTTTCACTCGGCTGTCTCACAAGAGGGCTATCTGGGCGAGTCTGAATGCGTCTTTACGAAGTCTGACTCCGCCAAATCTGGGGATTCTGAGTCCACGCAGACACTGTACAGCGAACTAGAATGGCCCGCGGTCTGGCAGCGGGACAACTTGGACACCGATACCGGCTAGTCTCCGCAAAGCAGACGTACCGATGAACGAGCTAGACACCGGTCAGGCGCTTTTATTCAGGACACGCTGTTCAACACTAACGACTCAACGCGCTGTCATCTCGCCCTGTGTCTCGGGTATGCTACTCACGCGCTCGCCGGCGACTCGCCCAGGTCTTCTGGCTGAAGCGGAAATGTAGAAGTGTCCGAGTCGCTCATATGGGATATCCGCCGTCGCGTGTCTCGCAATCAGCGTCAAGGTGAGCCTTCCCGCTCTGCACCGTCCAGTCGTGGTCGTTCACATTTCTTCCGCGCGCAGCGTTTTGCTGTCACCTCCTCTACCTGCTCGACGCGATCTATGCACAGGAGTGCCTCGACCTCGCTCCGCACGCGCTCATGTTCGATGTCCTCGAAAACGCACAGTGCAACGTGCTCGAAGCCCTCGCCTTCCGCGTCGGCAGCACGATCCCGATCGCGTTCATGGCGGCGCTTTGGGATGCGCTGCCGACGCTGCTGTGCAATACGCTGCTGGGTGCGCTCACTCCCTTATACTAGAGTTTCGTGCGTCGCGAGTCGATGACTCCTGTTCTACGCGCAGACGCGGACCTGGTGCTGTACCTCTCTCTCGCTGCTTACAGCGGTGGCGCTTATCAAGGGTGTCCTCGAAGTCTTTATGCGGCGATGCATAGACGACAATGGTCGACGGGTGCAGACGTGCGCCGAAGGATCAGGACGGCTTTGATTCTCTCTGGAGGAATGAGCCCGAACGGTGTCACTCGGTGGTATGCTGCTCACATTGTGCTCGTCAAGGCCTGTTATACAATACACTATGTCACTTATACAGATACCTCCCCAGTGTTTCTGGCCCCAATATCCTCATTGTTGGCTGCATCTTCCTCTACAGGTTCTATATCTGCTGTCTCATCAACCTCCAGGCAGCATCGAAGCATGGGAGCCTATGATCCTCTCAAAGGTCGTAAGGGCCCATGGTCTTCTTTCGCGCGGGTCGAAGAGGCAGAGTCCGCACGAACGAGTGCAAGCCACCAGAAGAGGAGAGCCGACGCAGCGATTTGACGAGACGTCGTGCGCGACGGAGGTGCAGGCGAGGCGCAGGGGTTGTATGTCGCAAATGTAGCAGTAGCACGTCGTGGTCGAAAGCAAAGAGCCAGTCGCCGCGCCCCGTATGCTGTGCGCTCATTAAATAACCTCAAGTGCTGGCAGGACCTCGCGAGTTCGGTTGACACCTAGTGCTCCACTGGGATATACAAACTACCTAGCAAAGTGTATTGCGACCTTGAGAGATTACAAGGTATGCACAACATGTGCTATCTCTCAGTTCAAAGCTAACTTGAATCACCGGTATGCGGCATCGCAGGTAGTTTAAGATGATGTCCTCGTCGTCGACGACTCGAGGCCTATGATCTTTCAGCAGCAGGCACAGATGGATAACCAGGGTGCTGGATGACGAAGAGAGGCATCCTCGCCTCGAGGATGCCGCACGAGTAGCAATGCTCGTTGGAGACGAGGCTCCTTTGTCGGCGAGAATGCGAAGCCCGCCATGATCATGAACTTCATGCGTCTTACAGGCCGGAACCTCGAGGTGAGACAGAAATCGTCCAAATCTTCAACGTTGATAAGAGGTCTTTCAAAAGATATCACCTGTCATATCATTGCGATCGCGTAGCGGACTTCTACGGCACAGGGTCCCACTACAGATGCGCATTGCCTCCAATACCATCGACCGCACGTATACACCCAAACTTTCTTCCCGTTACAATACGCCACCGTATATCCGACCGAGTGGATGAGCCGGCGGCCGGAGCTCCCAACGCATGATACATCGCATTGTCCTTCTACCTGCGCATCTCGCTGCTGCGAACCATGATGTGCCCGCTCCCGAGTTACTGTCATCAAAGACTTGATCATATTCCTATCATACAGCTTCGATGCTCAACAGTTCCATTTCTCCAGCCGTTCAGTCGCGCTTTCCCACTCTTTTCCGATGCGACCGCCAACACCCGCACTCCTGGCTTTCACCCGACATTCGAAGCTGATTGGCTTTGAGTTGAACCCGTTGGTAAAGTTCCATGGATCCGGAAACACCGGCATTCCGGCCACGTCAAGAGCAGGGAGGATGGTGAAGGCCCACAACAGCCTCGCCACAGCGATGAAGAGGGAGTTGTGTGCCAGATGCATGCCTACACAAATCCTCCTGCCGAAGCCGAAGGGGAGGTCGAAGTCCTTCATGCGCGGGTCGTCGCTCTCGAGGAAGCGCTCTGGCCGGAACTCGTCGGGGGAGGGAAACATGACGGGGTCTTGCATGATGCCACTATTCCCAGCTAATGCATCAGAGAAATGCCGGAATGCACACAGGCCAGGCAAAACATACGCGAGGTTTGCGAAGACGGTAGAACCTCTTGGTATGAACCTAATCAATAATATCGGGTAAATTGAGATAAGCTAGAGCAGCCATCGCCACTACTCACATTCCATTGTACTCGTCGTCAGCGGTCACCGCGTGCGGTGTGCCGCCTAGAACCGCGATAGGTCGCCACCTCAACGTCTCATTGATCACCGCCTTGAGGTACGGCAGACGCTCTCGGTCCTCATATCCCGGCAGACGGTCGGCCCCAACGACAGCGTCCAGTTCTGCCTGTGCCTTGCGCATGGCTTCCGGGAAATGCAGCATGGCCACTATAAAGCGGTGAGTGATACACGACGATGGTATGCGAGGGGTTTCTCACAGAAGAAGACGCATAGCGTCCCAGCGGTCTAATCCTCATCAGATGTTACGTCAGAGTGGAAGAGCAGAGGTTGACATACAGTCTCGATACCTGCGCCGAACGGCGACGACACAGTATACGCGATATCCAGGTCCGACAACCCATTTTTAGACTGGTTGGCCACAGTCTGAGATGTCAGGCATTCGGGAGCGGTGCCATCTGCCATCCGCTTCTTGACGTCGTCCAGAAGATGTGTGAGCAGCGCGATGTCCCTTTGGCGATGCTCCTCGGGCTCGTGTCGGAACCATTGCAGAGAGCGCTGTCATGCTGATTAGCGACGTTTGTCGGAGGAAGCCGCCGACACCTTACAGGAAGTTTCAAAAGCCACGGCCACGACTCCACAAGGTACTTTCCTGGAATGCTGCATGCGACGTTAGTGTCCTTCCCTCTGAGGTATGCTGGCGGCTTCGCTCATACTTGACACTGTTCCGATATCAGTCTAGTAATTCCTTGACAAGCTCGATACCCGGTGTTCAGGTGCTCACCTTGTCAGATCTGCAGGACGGCATTAAGTATATTGAGGACTGATGGTTTAGACAACCTCGCACTTACAGTCCATCGCAGCCATGTTTTCCTTCACGATCCACTCATCCACGCTCTTGACGCGACGACCGTATGCGACGAAGGTGGCGACGCTTGCGGAGTATCTGCAGAGTAGTCTGTCATATCAGAATTGAGACTAAAACCTACGTAGGCGGTCATACCGTTGTAAGTGGCGCTCAAAATGCGCCGGATCAGTCATAAGGTCATGCAAGAGTACAATAGACTCCAACGACTGTATCTCGTTGTAGGTGTCTGCGCGCCTCGAATGGAAGCCAGAGTGCAGGACCTGATGCAGAACCGGTTGGGGGGGCGGACATATGTCTACGAGGACTGAGTCTCACCTTCCGCCATCTGCGCCAGCCCTCACCGTACGGTAGCATAAGCCCACGCATATTGTCTGACAATATTTCTCCTCTTCCTGTAGGTCAGACCCGCCCACTGTGCTTACAGAACGCGATGACGGACGAAAGACGTACGCGACGACAAAGCGCGGACGACTCGAGTAGATCTCGGACCTCTTCTCAAGTAAATCCCATGCTGCCTGTGCGGTACCGAGCACTGCATGTATGCGTTAGTGATAGCCCCTGCAGAGCCGGCAAGAGCTCACCGATCACAGGAGTACTTCCTAGGTGAAGCGACACCACAGGGCCTACGAAGCATTGAACTCTCAGCTCTGAGTAACCACACCAGGGCACGAAATGCGCACCGTACTGCCTGTTCCACTCCGCGAATCTTCGCCAAGGCTTGATAGACGGAACCTGGTGCTTGTTTCCGATGAACGGCAGCCCGCGCGGCCCAGGCGGCATGTTCCTTCTGTGCACATGGTGCCTTACCAGTACGAACACCGCCGAGGCCAGCAAGATCAACCAGACATCGATAGCAAGTTCCAACATCACCTTTGGGTCGACGGTAGTATGCAAGGAGGTCCGTCCAGCAGCCATGGGAGGCGCGGACTCGCGGATGCGCGCCGCGAGAGATCCTTATAGCGGCCGACTGCTCACGAGAACAGGGGTAAGCGCGTTATAGAGCAGCACGCTTCGCGAAGCCCGTCGGCGGCCCCCTGAGAAATCGCTCCATGACACCTGTCCCATGACTAGGTTTACGGCCGCAGTAGAGGAGGATGACCTCCCAGGTAGTGTGTTCTTGCCCTCGGGTGTGCGCTTGCTGGACGTCAAGTATAGGCGCAAGGCACTGATTCACGGCATGCGACTCTATCATACACCCATGTGCTTATACTGCCTGACCTTCTTCATTGCTGAAGAAAACACGCAATGTCAACTGACTAAAGACGCAGAACGACGACAAAACATTGGTTGCGCACCTTCACCTTCTCGCTCTCTCTTTCCCTGGCGCGCAGATCCTCTGCAAACGTCTCGCGAACCTGGTTTATTGCTGTTAATCCAGAGAGCAGCGATGATTCGTATTAGAAGTGTACCTTATTGAAGAAACCGTCGTCCGTTAACAGGCGTAGGCCGACTGCAGCGAGCACCTCAGAGATGTTAAGACAGGCTTTGTGGGACTCCTTCGTCGCCGCGGCGTCGGTGAACGCCTTGGTGTGATTCCCTCCGCTCGTCGGGATCGCTAGATCGTGAACGAAATCAGTACGGGGCGTACACTCCTTCAAACGAGATCACATACCGAAGGAAGGGTGAATGGCGGGTAAAGCTTTATTGATATTCGTCAGTGAAAGTGGGGATGTCGAAACGGGCTCGCTGACCATATGTAACATTCCCCTACGTTTCATCAGCATGGTGACGAAAGATACAGCATTTTTAAACTCACGAAGTCCGTTGAGGCCTGGGAGATCCCGTACACGAAGTCGATGGGCCCAGCAGTCTTCGTGAATACTTCTGCAAACTCATCACCTACGCACGCCGAATATCTATAAGTCATACGACCAGGTAAATGTGACGAGACAACGTACTGAGAGCCTTGTTCTGCCTCAATTCGAAGGTGCCGTTGCCCATCTCGATCTGAGCACGACATCCCGTAGCGAGAGCTGCTCCTCTGATGAATGGTGTTTAGGACACAGAATCCGGCCTGTATGCACGAGAGACGCACTCGAAGCATTTCTTGATGCGTTCCACAGCGACATCGACTTCCGGTCGAGTAGGTGCGCGCACGTACCATCTGCGGCTACTTTAGATGTCCGCGTAATGAATGCTAGGAAAACACTTACATCATCTTTGCATAGTCCGGGATGACTGTGGAAGTCAATCAGCATAGTGCACGAAGATTGCCTGGCACATTGAATGTGGCGCACTATTTGGCGTCCAATCTTTCCCTTCAAAGATGCCATGCACACGATGGGTTGGCTTGAGCTGCTGCCTAAGCATTGATATGTTCGTGTACGCGAGCACCGCTGCGTCGAGGGCGTTCTGGCCCTCCCAGGGCGACAAAGCGGCATGGGCACTGGAAGATAGACGTTGTTTCAGTATACTGGGGCTAGGAAAGCTGGTACGAACGTGTGGCCAACGAATTCAACATCAACACGCTGTCGAGCAAGGCAGCTACTCAAACTCGCGGAGAACGGAGGTCCTGGGGCAGGATGGCACCTAAACGATACCGAGCGTCAGCCTGGCTTGTCATTGTCGCCCATGTGTTCCACATACATCAAGCAGGCATCCAACCCTTGATATGCGCCGCGCTCGAGCAGGATAGCTTTACCTGCACCACCTTCCTCACCTGAAAGGTACATGTCAGAACAGAAGCCGAGCGCGTATATTGTCTCCGTACCTGGTGTTCCCAGAAGAACGACAGTTCCGGCTATGTCGAACTTGACGAGCGCCGCCTTCACCGCACATGCCACAGCGACACCTGCGATGGCAATTAAATTGTGTCCGCAGGCGTGGCCGATTCCTGGGAGAGCGTCCATTTCCGAGTTCACCCCAAGGGTGCGGCCACCGGACCCATGAGAGTACTTGGCTACCCAGGCAGTCTCAAGAAGATATTTCCGAGTGACTTCGAAACCTTGCTTCTCTAGGTACGCCGTCAAAACATCGTGAGCGTGACTAAGGGTTGACCGTCAGCAATGGCTATTATCTACTTCCTGCCAGCGACACACGACTTACAATTCTTCGAAGCGTGTCTCCGGGAGTGCTGATGATAGATGTCAGTGCAGTATCTTGGTCGGCCTTAAGCTGGAGGGACATACAGTGAATATCTTGACTCAAATTGGCCAAGTCCCCGTCAAGCGCCGCGATGGTAGACTTGACGAAATCGAGAAACTCCGGCCTGTAGATGTCACCACTTTGCAACTCTGCGACGGCTACACTGTCGCCCGGTAGCCAAAGGTCAGTAGACATGACGGTGGGAGATACGGAAGACACAATCCCTGGAGTTGGAGAGATATACAACTGATAAAGGTCTCCCACCACATCTGCTGACCGCGTCCTAACGCTATCTAATCTGGAAAAACTGCTCTACCATGGACGTACCTTAGTGGACTTGCATTATCGAGGGGAATAAACGAGCAAAGCAACACGGTCCGGGTAAGTGAATACGGTGGTCCAAAGCACAGTAAGCGAGAATATACTACATATTATACCGATCCAAGATTCTCCGAACTTGTATCACGCTGTGTCAAGCGCTTCTACCCTCCAAACCTTGACGACACCTGCTCGATCGGCGGTGACGAGACCACCACGGAAGGGCGAGTCGATGCAAGCTACAGCAGTGATGGTATCTTGATGGCCCTTCAGCAGGTTCTGTTGATTGTGGTTGATCAAGGATAGCCGTTGGGGAGGCCGGTTGCCCTGGGATGACGGCGACGATGCCCATGTCTCGACATATGAGGAAGCCGTGCCTGTGGCCGCACGGGAGATACTAGTGGTGCGGATTAATACCGATACCTGAATGAAGGGTGCACTGTCCACGGAAACACACGTACCTGTAAGTAGGCTTGTCACCGTCTGCCTCGAGCCCGCTGAGCACGATAGATCGTTCTGGGCGACCGAGGTCCCAGAACCGCAGCTTGCAGTCCTCCGAACCCGTGATGAGGAAACCGCGACCGGATGAACGACTCGCAGACTTGCTATCTGCCTCCGCCATGTGCGATCGGTGTACAACAGTATGCCCACCAAACTCGGTTCCTGCCACAACCGCGCGAACATCGGGTGATGGTGAGAGCGGGGTGTCACCGCGGGTAGCGTCATGTCCGACAACACCCCCGCGTTGTGCGCTTGAACCTGAAGATCCTCCTTCCTGTCGCGCTCGTACGAGCGCAGCGATAGCAGCCGCCGGGCTCACTTCCGCCTCCTCGACGCTGACCTCTTTTGGCTCCTCCACTGCTTCCGATGGATTGAGAGTGGTCCGGACCGCGAACGTCTCGACCAGGGTGGTCTTCTCGATATCCCATACCTCGAGAACGGTGTGCGAGGGACCTTCCGAAGCCGATTGCGGCGTCTCTGTTGCAACAACGACCCACTTGCCCTTGCCTTTGGTGGGGTGAACAAGACACTGGTGTACGCGGCCGCTTCGCCCCTTAGATCCGAGGCCAACTTTCCAGCTCTTGATGAGGACACCAAACCGGATGTCCCAGAGTGAAAGGACACCGGTAGACGTCCCGCAGATCACCCACGCTCGCTTACGATCCAAGCAGATGCATGTGATTGGTCCATGATGTCGCGGGTTCTCCATGCGTTGCACAGTGCGCATCGTCATAAGGTCCATGATAGTAATGACTGAATGCGTGGTCGCGTAGACGAGGTTCGACGAAGTATCTAGTCACAATACGTCAGTTATCGCCTACTTGCTTCAAGGAACAGACCCTGCGTTACCTGTCGAGAAGTGCGTCATGCTGGTGATGTATTCGCCTGGGGTGTCTACCCGATGCTCGCGGACCACTTGAAGCTTGTGGTACTTCGGCAGTTGTCCGCTTTGGCTTGCGTGCACGCGTACGATGTGCAGACTCCCGTCCTCAGCGGCGCTCGCGAAGCAGTGCACCCCTTCAAGCATACACACGCTCTTGACTCGTGCGTGGTGCTGGTTGTAGGTGTGCCGAGGCTTGCTCGTGACGTTCCGCTCTAGGCGTGCGGTGTCCCACACCTTGACAGTCTTGTCGTCTGACGCGGACACGAAGAACATGTGGTCGGGAGACACGGCTAGGCCCGTCACAACGTCCGAATGCGAGCTGAAGTGCGATATGAGGGAGGCTTCAAGACGGCGCGACGCTCCATCTCGAGCCATGAAGCTTGCATGCCGGGCAGCATTCCGACGGCGCACTGGTCCTTCGTGCACTTTGGGGCCAAAGTCGTTCTGGAGATCCCGATTGTTGTCCAGATATAAGTGCTCGAGGAGGTTACTGATGCCAGCCTCCTGTCCATCTAGAAGAATATAGCTCAGCATGGTGAGGCGCAATGCAGAAGCTGTGCTGACTTACCATATGTTGAAATGGGCGCTATCGAGGGCACTCGGGGTTGATCTTGCACGCGCACCGTACCAGCTATGGAAACCGGTGATGATCGTCCAGATGGCGAAGGCGAATCGGAGCGAATTTGCGTATGGGCTTCCAGCAACCCCGTCGCGCTCGCCTTCGAAGAACCAATGGCAGGTGCTGCCTTCGGGCCATCTCCACTGATTGGGAAGCGTTGCATCGCACGGAAGGCAGAGGTCGTGGTGGACACCGTAGACTCCGCCGGACTGCCAGGGCGATCTAACCCAGAAGGAATCTCTGGTGAAGTTGGCGCCGGAAGAGCATTAGTATCGATGGAGAGTGGGTGCGGGAGGGGGCTACGAGGTTCACGCGATCCTGGCACCGCGAGTGAGCTGCCTGAGCCATTGATGATGGCAAGCCGTCTTCGAAGATCCTCAAACGGTGCACCAGCAGAACCCGGGCCGTGGTCGATGCTTAGTGTTCGGGTAGTTCGAGGTGTTCCCGGCGACCTGACGAAGAAGTCGGATGCGGGTCTCTGCGAGGACAGTCGAGAGGAGCGCCCTTCTGCTTCTGGGGCGCGCAGGAAGACCGTTTGTGGCACAACTCCGAGCTTCACGAGCTCGATTGTGCTGGTCGACTTAAGCGCATCAGTTTCAACCTCCACGCTGACGCGAGATGCAAAGCTGGGACGGCGTGAGTTACACGTCCATGATGGCAATATGTAAGAACGCCGACCGACCTTGATATTGCCCGCGCGAGCTTTAGGACGTAGTCCCGCATCGCCATTAGCTTGGCCTCTTCCACGGAGGACATGCCCAGCTGTTGCAGCTTCGCCAATTGTGCTTCGTCCCTGCATCTCCATCAGTACCTCATACGCCACATCCGGGATATCTGCACATACTCTTCGGACCGTGCGCGAGACGCCGCATTCCCAGTTTGTCGCACTGTGGCCATGCTCTCGCGAGGTGATTCACTCTTCGCGGGCCGGTGCGAACGCCAGAACGATGTCTTGTCCGCCTTCATCGCCCACTGCACCGCAGCATCGAAGACCTGCCGCGATAGCGGGTACTTCATTGCCAGAAGAAGACTCTTCTCGTCCACGTCCCGCACATCCGACCGCAAGAAGTGCTTGAGTGATGGATACAGGATACACCACACATCACTCGGCGGCAGGTGTTTCGCAGCTGAGGCGATGAATGCCGCAGCGCCTGAGCGGTGCAAGCACGTCAATACACTGCGGTCATATGCGGACGATACAATGACTCGCACCTTGTCGTATCCAGATGTTGGGATGGTACAGGAATCCAAGCGTCGCGCTCATTAGTTCCCAGATGCGCATTTTCTGGAACAGTCCCAATTCGCAGAGGTTGGTCAGCGAGGCGAGCACCTTCGCCACAACCGTCTCCTCGACATCTGAGGAGTCACCGGGCTAGTCAATATGCGTTTGGATGAGTCTTCAACCACAGACACATACCGGACAGAGCTTGTATCATGAGTGGCAGAATGTACTCTTCGAGGCTGCGCCCGCCCGCACACGCGGCAACGTCGACAATGCTGTCGAAGAAGGCATATCGTAACAGCCAGTCGCGGTCGTTGAGATATGTGATCATATGGCTCAGAAGCACGTCGTTTGTCTTCTGGCGTCCGAGGAAGATACACAAGGACGAGATGTTGTGGAGGACCGCGCGCTTAACAACACTAGAAGGGTCCACGAGCAGCGTCGAAAGGTGTTCCTGAATACTATTCTGTAGATCGTTCATGCTGGCGTCGTAAGAAACCTATGTCGGGGTTTATCAGTCTTTCGAAAATTCGCATTAAAGCAAAGACCTACCTCGAAATGCGCCTCATCGTACTCTTGCGTATCCGGAGACAGCTTGTACGTGCCATGTGCCTTGAGCGCTTGACCCATTTCCAGATACCGCACCGCCGTATCGGCGAGAGGCACAATGATCTGCGCATACATGCACCGCACTAAAACCTCTGGGTCGCGGACGAGGTGTCCAATGGCAGGGATGATGTACTCCGGGAATATGGCAGCGTTTGAGGGAGTGATGACTGTCACGAGCATGAGGACCTGCATGAGTGTGCGCAGTGCGGAGGCGCGCACGAGTCCCGCGTCATCGTGTAATAAGTCGACGATGTACGGGACCATGCGGTCGAGCTTCGCCTCGTCGGTGAGATGGGCGGAGAGCGCTAAGAATACGTCTAGTGCACGGATCTTTGAACTTGGGAGGTAGCAGTTGCGGACGTTGGCGCATATGAGCGACAAGATGATGAGAGCAGGGCCGTCTACAAAGTAAGTTAGCAACGGATGCATTCTGAAGAGGATTCCTATTGACCTTCCGCTGCAGCACGTTTGCGTGAAGACCACGCGCTGTGAAGCTTGCTCTCGCGATTTGGAATATTGAGTTCGACTGGAAGAACGTCCTATTGATAAGTCAGGATTGGTTCTTGATCAAGCGCTGATATGAGAGGTCTCACATGGAAAGGGCGCGAGGAGGTAATTTGAGGTGTGTAGTCGACCTTGACGTCCATAACGGTCTCTCCTGTTGAGTCGCTCACGAGATAGGGCTCAACGCTCTCGTAATCTGCCCATATCCGTTCCATGCGATGATCAGAATCGCTTGGAAGAGGGTCATTGGTTGATTCTCCGTTGAGGGCCGCAACGGACGCCGCAAGATGACCTGTCGTTCTTTGCGCTGCAGGGACTGCACTGCTAGGAGTAGCCGGAGGTGCCTGGGCGGTTGAGAACAGCGTTGGGGCATTCACCTCGTTCACAGAATGGACATAGTTGTGTAAGAACGAGTAGAAACATTCGGGGAAGACCGCTCCGCGAGAGGTGTGGAGGAGCGTATCGAATGTAGGTCGAGTGGCAGGATCAATGCCGACCATTTGTTTGATGAGGTCCTGCGACGCAATATGTCAGGGCGCTGACAGGTAAACCCATGAAGATATCACCCACCCGGACACCTTCCTCTTCGATTGCACCGAGCTGCGTCTCCAGCTTCAACTCGCCTTCTCGGTACTTGAACAGCTCGCTGAGCGTGAAGAGTGGCCTTCCTTCTAAGAAAAGCTCCGCGATCACACAGCCAACGCTGAAGCAGTCCATCGCCTCCGTGACCTTGCCATCTCTTCGTCCCTCAGTATCGTCTACAGCCAATCGTGACTTCTTCGCACTGATGTCCGGGTTGTCATTGGCAGTGTAGAACCGTTCAGGAGCGATGTAGCACGAACGGCGCCCAGATGTGTCGAAGAAGAACGAGAAGTCGGAGGGGTCGTCTAGAGGGAGGAAAGTAGGCTTGTACGATGCGAAGTCCGAGACATACACCCAGTTCCATGAGGTAACCAGGATGTTCTCCGACTTGATGTCGCCATGGGACACCTTGCGGTTGCGGGCGTCGCGTAACGCGTTGAGTATCTGAAACGCGATCCACTTCTTCTCAACGGCACTCAGGAAGGGCCGTGTGCTGGACCAAACCTCAGGACGGGGACAAGACACGCGCGGAAAAAGTACTCACCTGATACGGTCATAGAGATTGCTCGCAGCCCATTGCCGAATAACATATCCCGCCTTGTCCGTCTCCACGAAGGTCTGGTATCCATACACGTTGGGTATATCCGCCAGAGCCTCGCGCTCGACTGAAGGTCGTCAGCTTCAGTACGCAGACCGAAAGAATCAACGACGCGTACTCTTGAGCCTCCTGTGGTACTTCCTCAGACTCAAGCCCGGATCTGGCTTGATGAATATCTTGACCACAAGATACCCATTCTTATGGCGACACTTCACCGTCTTCAAGAACCGAGCAGAGCCCAAACTGGGAGGTTTTGTAAGCAGTTCTAACAGAGCGCAGGTACTGAGGGCCGCACCTTCTCTCATAGACCACATCTCCGCCGAGTTCAGCCACAAACGAATCTAGCGCACCACTGGTACGCGTCAATGACTGTGCGTTTCCCATTTGATTTATACGTCCATCACACGTTCAAGAAGAGCACCAGTTCGAGGTATGATGTGAACGATTCCAGAGCACAGAGTCTAGTGGATGTGGGGGCTCAAGCAAGGAGTGCCTTTGGCTAAGCGCTTGCGCGCGTCATTTCATGCCGCCTCTCGCGGTGTGCCGCGGGCGGTAGTAGCCCGTCGACGTCCAAACCTAGGCTGTCTCAACTTGACAAAGAGTACTCAAGCTCGAGCTGAAGTAGGTAAGGCCAGTGCATGTAGATGCGGTAGTCGCAATGACTGCAAGACCCTTACTCGTCGCAGCGACTAAATATGTATCTGCTTAATCTGCTCGATTGCGATGTGCAAACCCAGAACTCGAGACGCTAAGTACACGCTGTGAAGACAACCTCATGCATTGCATTGCAGACATCTATATCTACTCGAGCTTGTTGTGAAGGCTCCTCTTGGTCTTCAGCGCGAGCAGCTTCTCCGTGATGACGTCCAGCGGGAGCGTCTCCGTGCGCGCCTTCGTGCCAACGTCGTCGCGGTTGCGCACGTTAACAGAGCGAGTGTCGAGCTCGTCCTGGCCAACGACTGCGAGGAGAACGTTCAGCACGGCTCTGTACGATACATACAAGAAAATACACACCGAGGATGAAGTTGTACTGCGCGATCTCGCCGTTGCGGACCTTCTTCGGGAGCGTGTTCTCGCCGTTGTCGACGTCCACATACAGCCCGGCTGCGCTCAGCTTCTCTGCAACCTCGGTAGCGTACTCCCTCTGTTCTCAAAAAAGTTAATATCTACCGAGTTTCACCAAATTGTCTGAAACTTACGTAGGGAATCGCAACGGGGATGACGAGCACCTGGCGCGGCGAGATCCAGAACGGCCACTTGCCCGCGAAGTGCTCGGTGATGATCGCAATAAAGCGCTCCATGCTGCCCAGGATGGCGCGATGGATGATGACCGGGCGCGGCGGGGGCTTGCCAGCGTCGGCGGCCTCGTCCGCGCTGCGGTACTTGAGGTTGAAGCGCTCGGGCAGCTGGAAGTCGAGCTGGATGGTCGCGCACTGATACGCGCGCTTGAGCGCGTCGCGGATGGTGATGTCGATCTTGGGTCCATAAAACGCGCCGTCGCCGGGGTTGATCTCCCACTTGCCCGGGTAGAACTTCTCAAGCGCGCCTTTCAGTTGCTACATAGGGAATACTGTAAGGATTGAGTCATCATAGCGAGAAGTATGATACGGACCTCCTCGGCGGCGTTCCACGTCTCGATACTACCGAGGTAGTTGTCAGGGCGAGTGGAGAGCTCCAGGTGGAACTCAAAGCCGAAGAGGCCGTAGATGTGCTGCATGAAGTCGAACAGAGCGGCGATCTCATCCTCGATCTAGCATATAGTCAGCGCCAGCTCCTGCTCTCGCATCAATGCCACCGACCTGCTGGGGCATGCAGAACACATGCGTGTCGTCCTGCACGAAACGGCGCACACGGGTCAGGCCCGTAAGTGCGCCCGACGCCTCGTTACGGTGGATGATACCGAACTCAGCCATGCGAATGGGAAGCTCCTTGTAGCTGCGGTCGCGCGAGTCGAAGATGAGGCAGTGGCCAGGGCAGTTCATCGGCTTCAACGCCCACTTCTCCTTCTCGATGTCGAGCGCGAACATGTCATCCTTATAGTTCTGCCAATGTCCCGACGTCTCCCACAGCTTGCTGTGGTACATATTCGGCGAAATGACTAGCATATAGTCAGCATACATAGGGCGCAGACAGAGCGGAATCCATTTACCTTCTTGGTATCCGCGCTTGAAGTACTCCGACTGTACAACACCAGTTAAACAGGCACTCCGCGCGATGTAAAGACACATACCCGCATAAGCTCGATGAGGGTGTTGTAGATACGGGTACCGTGCGGGAGGAAGAAGCAACTTCCAGGACTAAGGTCGTTGAAGAAGAACAGCTCCTGCTCTTTGCCGATCTTTCGGTGGTCGCGCTTCGCAGCCTCCTCGAGGAACTTCTTGTACTCGGTCAGCTGCTTCTTGTCGGGGAATGAGATTCCATAGACACGCTGGAGCGAGTCATTGTTGGCGTCTCCCAGGAAGTACGATGCAGAGTTCTGTAAAGCGTGCGTGAATACGACTATACAAACGAATAATAGACGGTATCGCACCTTGGTGACCATGAATGCCTTGATGCGGCCAGTGTGAGGGATATGGGGGCCGAGGCAAAGGTCCACCATAGGCCCGCAGCGGTAAACTGTCGTGGAGGTGCCATCGGGGATCTTGCTTTCGATGATGTGTTTCTTGTATTTGTTGTACTAAGGCACTGTCAGTCCACGCTCATAGACGCATATATGCATCTGAGACTCACCGCGAACATCTCTAGGAGAGTCTCCTTCGGGACCACGAGACGCTCGAACTTCTGCTTCTCCTTGATCGCCAGGTCTGCGACCTTCTCGATAGCGGGGTAGTCGCTGTTCACCACTGGCCTACGTGGATTAGCACGCGTAAGTCGTATGCGTCGCATGATTCGCTGACAGCACTGACCTGTCCTCAATGGCCATTTCGTAGTAGAAGCCATCATCCGTAGGGGGCCCGATGCAAAGATGGCAGCCGTAGTGACGTTCGGAAGCCTCGCCGAGGACATGGGCAGATGAGTGCCAGAACACACGTTTACCTACCAAACCCCTCATCAACTCGAGTCATTTCGTGGAAACGACAATACTACTGACCTTCGGGGTGCTCAAAGTCAAGCAGTTCCACAGAGCACGAGCCTTCTAGCGGACGCTCCAAATCCCATAGGTTGCCGTCGACCTTCGGCATCCAATCAGCACGAGTGCGACTGCAGAATGCGTGCGGGACATACCTTGGCAATAACCACCCGGTCCGCAAGGCTCTGCGAGATCTGCTTCGCTACGTCCATTGGACTTGTCTCCCAACTGGTTCCTTTCCGCTGTGAGCCATCGGGGAGAGTGATCGAGATCTCCTGGCGCGGTTGGTCTTGGAGCAGCGGTATCAGGACCTCATGCGCCGCAATTTCGGCCCTCGACACGTACTTTTCACCCACTCATCCTGCTCCGCCTTCAACTTTTCAAAGATCTTGAGTCGGTGATCGAAGAACTCGGGACGCGGGGTGATCTACGTCGCGGCACGGCTATTCAATACTAGACCATGCAACGCGTCCAAACGGTCGTTGCTCACTTCTAGCGGGTGTGCGGACGTAGCCTCCTTCCCCTTCTTCTCCTTCTTCTTGTTTCCCTCCTGGTGAGGTGCGTTCAGCGCCGAGAGCTGCGCGGGCTGAGAGGTGGATGCGACCGGCGTGGTCATGGTGGTCGAGTGCAGACGTGTCTGGGCGACTAAACAGGGAGAACGGAGGATATTGCCAGCAGATGAAGGTACTATATACAGACGGCGAGAGGCAAGCTGCTGAAATCGATGCAGCCTCAGCATTCCAGGTGGTCGTTGCGAGTCATCGTGATCAAGCGGTCCGGCCTCTGTGCGAAAATTCAATCTTATCTCTCTGTAGCCGGACGATCTACGTAATCTAACATACAACGAAAGTGCCGCGAAACTCGGCGAGAGTGCGCGCAGAAGATGCATAGGACAGTAGCCGATTTGAGAGTGTCTCCGGGATGCAAAGCAACGCAGAAAACACGACGAGGAACGGTTATACTCAGGCCGATTCACTCTGTCTCTCACACAATGTCACCATCGCGCGACGCGTCGCGATGACCACGAGACCAGGAGAGTGGTGTGTATAGCAGGATAGTGTACAGGGGAAGAACGCAAGAGAATTCCAGTGATAAGATAGGTATAAACGGGGGCGTATTGTAGATGGCTAGTAAGAAGAACGAGACGCGGCACTCCCTCCAAAACGCGTCGGGGCGATGGAATTGTCGGAGGAATCGGCAGGGACATCGGAATCGACGTTCTGCTGAAGATCGGAGGGGCCGGGAGAGCGCGGCCAGGAAACCGACAGCATTCCGTGCTCGAGCGTAGCGACCAAATGGTCGGTCTGCGGACGGAGTGCCGGTCAGTGACTCGATTCTCCTTGATACGCAAGCGTTAAAGGCAAATAAACTCACGGTGCAGCCGGCAGGAACACTAATCGCGCGGCGAAACGTGCCGTACTTCAACTCCCGAATCTGGGAGGAACCAGAAGTCTCGGTTGGCGTCTGGACGCGCTCGGGGTCTGCGGCTGAGAGGCGCAAAGGCCTGCGCTCCCCTTGGACGACAAGTCGGCCATCGACCACGTCGAGAAGGACCTGGTCGGGTCCCAGCCCCGGCAGCTCGAAGAGAGCCGTTATGGTCGCGCTCTCGCCGTCGTCCCATAGCTCCATCCTGTTAGGAGGACGACAGACAATGAGCATGCGCAATCAAGGGAATACCCATAGAAGGTTACTCACCGCGGCTTGTAGACCCGATCCTGCATCTGCCGAAGGCGCATGGCGTTTGCAAGTTTGAGTGCCTCATCCCTCGTGAGATCCCTCCCCAGACGTTTCTTGACTGCTAAGACGAGTTTGTTGGTCTTGGTGGGGCGTCCAGTCATATCGTCGATGCAGAGCAGCTGGGGAGGGAGTTTGATGGGCGAGGGGGTAGAGCGGAGAGTGGAAGTCGTGTGTGTCTCCCTCGTGTCTTATATCGTGCTAGGCCCATATTGACTCACGTCAAACGCTGAAGTGACTTATCGCCCCTGTGTATGGTGAGTCTACCCATGATGCTCTTGTGAGATAGTGACTCGTGGTACAGGGGAGGCAACAAGCGCCCATCCATGGGAGGGCACGCGAGTCAGAATTGATGTCGCCACTGCGGCGAACCCATTGACGAATGAGGCGTTCGCGATATGACGACATCTGGCAGACCATGGCCATAGCCAAACCTAGGAGCATGGCGGAAACAACGCGCAAAGTGAACGCAACGTTAGGGAGAGGAGAACTCAGCTAGCGACAAAGCGCGTCACCCGAGTGTCCCCGAACGAATGGATTAGGCACCAGCTCTATTGAATATAAGATGCGTCCAGGTGTGTACACATGCTCTAGAAAGCTCAGTGGGCGCCGTGACCTGCGACATGCGCTGCCTTGCTGTTTTGCCATGCGTCGTAGCGCTTGGCCCACGTGTAGGTGCCGTAGCCTGCAACGGAATGTCAGATACCACGAGAGACGAGAGATAGACTATCACCGAAGTGAAGATCAAGGTGCAATACGTACCAAGGGCGAAAGGAATGACCCAGTAGACAGCCTGCGAAGACAGGCGGCGGTAACCGTTGAAGATGTAGCTGCGGAAGAGGTTGTGTACCGCGCGCTGCTTGAACGGCGACATAGCTGAAATCATCCATGGCAATTAGGACGACGGGGAGTGTGAAGTAGGCGGGCGAAAGTGTACGAAGGGGAGGATATAAAACATGGCATGCTAGAGTGTCAGTGGGAACACTCCAATTTTCGAAAGTTACGCACAGTACTGAACGATGCCCTTCTGCTTCTGGTTACCCCTGTCGCCCCACCAAAGGTTCTGATCACAACAGTCACAACGTTGCTCAGTGTCAGGTCAGATGCGGCCACTCACGTAGACCTTGGCTACGAAACAGATGTCAAGACTCAACCGAAACATGTAGGACAGATGAACTTACGGCCAGGCATGTCACTCCTACGGATTTCTGAGGGCCTCATTGTCGCAGACTGTCGGCAGCAGACAAGCAAGTGAGAGAGAAAGGAAGGTTCGTCGTCGTGGATGTTCGGGCGAGCTCGCGAGGCGCCGCGAGCATCCCGACACCGAGCGAAGCCAAACAAGGCCAAACACTCTTCGCGGGCGACCACGACGTCAGACATCGAGGTCGGTGCCTCTTGCATTCCCGACGGCATCATCGTCCTAGCTTGCTCACCTCTCGGGTCCACACTGTAGCTCTGAACGACAATGATCAGCAACAACACTCTTTACAACCTCGCGAACGGCCTGGGCATGCTGGCAATGTTGACCGTCGTCCTCTACCACTTCGTCGCAGTCAACGCGAAGCAGATAGGGCGCAACGGCACCGCGGCCCACTAGACTGAGGTGCTGTACATTCTCAGGTGTGCTCAGAGTCATATGGAAATGTTTCCCGAGTCCTGACTGCTCTTCCGGACGTAACCTGCAGCATTGCTCCGGTTGATCGTGACTAAGCCTACGCGCGGTGTCCGACGACTAGTCCGACCTCTTTTTTGCGTACAAGAGTTTGTAATCAACGTAGGCCCGTCGTGAGCAATTCACATCCCCCGTTCCGATCGGATTGACTGGTTATATGCGTCAGTATGCAATGCGCCATGCACTTGAAGGCTGTAGGATGTTCCTACGCTCTGGCTACGCTGACTGCGCACTAGTGACAGACTTGTCCGCGGGTTTGGTTGCGCGTTCGAGGTGCATAAGCAAATTGTATGTGCACCCACCGGGATGTCCCTACTGGAATGCCAGTCCTCGTCATCTGGCTTGTAAGTTGTCCGGGACGGTGCCAGCATCTCAGCGAAAGCGCAGCTATTTGTCTGCGTCGCGTCTGAATGGCAACCGCTTCTGGACACGATCTACGACACGTCGCAGTCGCACGACGATCTGCCATTCCACCGCACTACCGTACCTTAGTCCGAGACGAATCGGCAGCTACGGTCAACGCTTTGAATGCCTTGTGAGTTCGCAGTTCACCCGTTTCGGAGGCGAAACCTTGCTCACGTGAAATTTTTACAATGTGAGTCCGAAGTCATGCATGCCATACTTGTTCCTTCCAAAACAGGACCCCGCAAGGGTGGACGTGGAACGACGGCAGTTCAACTGAGGCGCGCTCTGTCTAGTGTGAGTCAATATGAGTAGTTGGATACATGCGTCCTGATGATTGCTTTCCTGCGTGTTTGCATGTATGCTGGTAGTCCGGTATCTAGATCCGCAGGGTGCGCCGCCTCTCCTACTTACGCCGCGCGGCCCTGCCCCTGTTCGGTCGACCGCGTATGGCAGCGACGCGGAACGGCTTCAAAAGTCGGAAGATGACTCGACCCGGAATACGTGCACAGATTCCGGGCCCCGCCAATTGGGCCCGCACGCCGCACGGCATTTCCTGACACGAACATGAGCAGTTGGCAGGAAAGCAGGACCGGTTATGGGCGTGCATGAACAAGCAGGAATATGACTGAGCCCGTGCTCTGTCGGAGGTGAGTAAGAACCGCTAACTCCCCGTGCCGGCGCCTCCCTGACCCGCCCCATGCTGTGCATATCCTCGGCGCCTGCGGCATTCTGCGGGGTAATTTCCAGCGCTTCCCATAACCGGATTTTCGTTTTGCGCGGCGTGGCGGCGGTATATAAGCTCCCGGCTCGTTGAGAATGCTCCACTACGCCCCTCGCAGAACATGTCTCCCCAATACACAACCAAGACGTCTAGCCACTCCAAATCACATTCCTCCTTCGCCAAAGCTCAGAAGATGTTGGAAGAGGAGGACCCCCGTTTCCGTGGTTTGGACCGCATGCTCGCGCGAGCATACATCGAGCTACAGAGGCGTCGTGCTCAGCAGCAGAGGGCTGGGTTATTCGTGCCGAGGTACGTATCTGCCTTCCGGTGGCGCAGACATCGCAAGCTTACGCAGTTTCCTGTTGCAGGATGGACGTATGTGACGACCCCGAGAACGTGGTCATCACCGCCATACTCGAGCTCCCCGGTATGAAGGCGGACCAGCTCTCTGTTCGGATAGAGAACGGACAACTTATCATCGAGGGCGAGCGCACGGGCCCGCATCTGCATCTGCACACGGACAGCCGGAACGCGGCGTCTTCGGAGCCGATGCGTCAGGCTCAGGCCCTTTACCCTGTCCAGGAGATCAAGTATGGCAAGTTTCGTCGCGAGGTAAAACTGCCCGACGGCGTCACGGTGAGTCTTTTCTGGTCTTAGTCAGCGGAGCCTGTGATTGACTCCGCATTCGCTTTTAGGCAGCTCACGTCCGCAGCATGCTCGCCGAGGGCATGTTGACGATCTCGTGGCCCCGGGATCCGTCTAGCTTCGCGGAACACGCCCGTGCGTCCGCAGCTGCCGCACAGAATACCGGAGGCGGTGGCGATGACATTCGCGGTGGCACCGCCTGACGTGGCTCGGACTCGGTTACGTTTCACGACACCGGACGTTTTACATCCTCTCTCGCTGTTTTGTATTGCTATGCACACACCGCTCTACTTCGTATGCTCGGGATCCTGGACATGTTCACGATACCCACATAATCATTTTCTCCTTGGCTGTATCATAAGAGGTTTTACTTGTATCGTTGTATCTCACTTCGGCTTCATATGACTCATCTATCATGTCTCAATTATCATAAATTATGCTTCCCAGAGTGGCATCGCTGATAGCACACACTTCCGGGTTCGCTTGGGCAGCGGAGCATGTTCAAACGTCATGGTACCGCGGTACTGCTGCCTGCGCGCGAATTTGAAGGTATAGGCGCCTACACCTTCCTTTGTAAGCGCCCACAGAGCTTCGCTAAATCGGGTGAAATCAGGCTGTGTCCAGTCGAGTCTCCGTTGCCCTCTTCTTCCTCCCACCATCACTTCTCGTACGCGCGTGGCCCCCTGCGCGAATTTAGGAGCGGGGGTGCTGAAGAAGAGCCTTTATATAGCGCTGCTGCCAGGTTTACTACAATTCTGACGCACGCAACAACACGCGATGTCAACCTTAAATCAAGATTCGTTCTCAGAACGCAGCACGATTCGTGGGGTTCGGACACGAAGTGTGCGGTTATACAGCAAGATCAGCACTTCACTGCAACCAAACCGCAAGCAGCCGTTAGAATGATGCATGACGTCGATTTTGAATATAGTATCTTCACGACATCATCGGACATGCGCATGCACGGATGAGGCGGTGCCGATGCTCCTCCAACGTTGATACTTCCGGAAGACCATCGCGCGGCAGAAAAAGTACGTCTTCTGATAGCTACTACTGTTCTAGCACTACCAGCCTGCATGCCAGGTGTCATATGACGCAACACATGAGTCGTGGCCACCTCTAGATGTGTACGTATGTTCAGTACTTCCACCGATCTCACCCTCCGGTTGTTAGGCTACCGGGTCGCGGACACACGACGTACAGTAATGGCGAAGATGCATGAAGAATTCAAAGCTGTTTACGTGAGCTGCGCCACGATGTTTCCTTGATCCCCGGACTACCAATGGACGACTGGTGCTGGTCGGATCCGAGACGATCCGAAGACCTCACGTCGGACATCCCTCCTAGGCGGCGAGGGTCATTGCGATGTGTTTGACCGGGCGGGTACCCAGGTCGAGAGCGTTCCTACCCGGTCCCACGAAGGGACACTACGATGAACCCGGCTTTTGCGAACATAGTCGCCACGCCAGTGTTGAACACCCGTACGCCGTTCCTCCGATGATTGCATCCGCGACCACTTAGATGCCGTTGCGAATTTGCAAATGTCCTTCTATCAGGTGACCGACCGTCCGTTCGATGTCTGTTATGCATCATCGGGTTTGCGTCTACTTGCAAAGAACATGTATTCTCTCCCAGAGAGACGGCGCAGCTACCGTTCATGAGGTAGTTGTGCAATGTCAGTCAGAGGCGCCAGTTGCCGTATATAAACTGGGGTAGGTCCACTGCTATCTCCCACCACTCTCCGTACTCACTTCTACATCCGCAGTCTCTTTCTCCGCGCTATCATCCTCACCGCGCCTATCCCCACCAAACCTAAATGCCTCTCCAACTTGCCGATATCCCTTCGCACCTCTCAATGGAATTTCATTCCCCCTCCAACGCCATCGAGAAGGGTGCTACTATCCCCGAGCTCTACGACTGGCACGCGAAGGAGAACCCCGACTACCCTCTTTTCTCCTACCATGACGGCGAGAAGTCGGAGTACATCACCTACTCTAGCGCAAACCGTGCTATTGACCGCGTAGCGCGGTACGTCCTCTCTGGGCTTGGCCCTGTAGCCTCTACCGCCGAGCGCGGGGCGGCGAAGTTGCCGACGGTTGCGATCTTCGCAAGGGCTGGTACGTCCGAGCAGTCTCGTCGTTCATCAACCTCTACTCACTACGTTACTGTATGCAGATACCATCACGTACTTCTGCACGGTTATCGGCGTGTTCAGAGCCGGCTGCACCGCGTTCCTCGTTTCTCCGCGTAATGGGGCCGCTGGCGTCGCGGATATGCTGCAGCGCACCGGCACGTTGCAGATGTTCGTTTCGCAGGATGCTACCATGCGCGACCTCGCCCAGGACGCCCTCAGCCGTCTGCCGGAGGGCCACGTCACTCTGCGCGACATGCCCGTCTTTGAGGACCTCTTCCCGACGGGCTCACAAGCAGGAAACCCTGCTTTTGAGACAGAAGTGGAGCTCCCGAAGATGCACGATGTCAATGCAGTGGCGGCCATCCTGCACTCTTCAGGTATGATGTCTGTCCACGCGTACCACTGAAGGGATGGCTCATGACAGGACATGCAGGCTCTACCAGCTTCCCGAAGACGATCCCCTGGACGCATAAACGTTTCCTATTTGTTGGTCACGAAGCCCGTACGCATCGTATCATCTTATGCGCTGTGAGCCCGTACTGATCAGAGAGCTATAGAGAGAGGCGGCGGCAGCGTGACTGGTACGATCTGGGGCTGCCATGCCACGCCCATGTTCCATGCAATGGGTGCAATTATGATTCCGTCCGCGGTACGTGCGAGATCAAACAAGCCCAGAGACGGCGTACTCACGGCATCTTATCGTGCAGCCTATCTGTGGCTACGTTGTCGCCGCCTTCAAGCCGGCGACACCTCCGGTGTTCCCCACACCCGACATTGTGTGGCGGGGGCTCGTTGCGAGCAGAGTGGACTTTGCCTTCACCGTCCCGGCTTTCATTGAGGTAAGCATTATCCAGCACTAGAACACAGACGATGTATTAAGATGTTTTTTCACTTCACAGGAATGGGGGCGCGATCCCGCCAAGGTTGAGGTCTTGAAGCACATGCGCGGAGTAGTAAGTTATAGGGTGCCTCTAGACAAGATACCGTAACTGACAGATCCGTGATAGATATTCGGTGGCGCGCCGCTCAACCAAGAGAAGGGTGATGCGCTGGCCGCTGAAGGTGTGAACCTATGCTCCGCATACGGCTTGTGAGTATAGCACCCTGCTATCTAAACTCCTCGGAACTGACAACGGCGCCAGGACGGAAGTCGGGAACGTCAACCTCTTCTCCAGATGTGAGTTACCGTCCCTGCAGCGCAGTATAGTCATCAGATGGCTGAGCACGATAACCTTTCAGCGAGTCGGGGCTCGGACTGGGCATATTTCCTCCCTACTCCGTCGCTTGAGATTGAGTTCCGCCCACATGGTGACAACAAGTACGAAGTGATAGTCTACGTAAGTCTTCTGGACCCGTCACGCTGCGACTTCGATATCTAAGCTTTATTGCCTCCAGTCGGACCCGGAGAATCCTCTCCCCGCGGTCAACACGAAGATCAACGGACGGCATGCTTATGCGACGAACGACCTCGTTGAGCCGCACCCGACAAAGCCGAACCTCTGGCGTGTATATGGACGTGCAGATGAGCAGATCATGCTCTCCAATGGCGAGAAGGTCGGTGTACTATCGCGTACTTTCTCGTACCTGCGGTACTCACTCGGTTACTCGCGCACAGACGAACCCGTTGCCTATAGAGAGCACCATCAACGAGGATCCGCACGTCAAGTCGTCCGCTATGTTCGGGCGGGGCAGGTTCCAGAACGGTATCCTCATCGAGCCCGCGGAGGAGTTCCAAGTTGACGCGGCGAACGTGAAGGAGGTTGAAGCGTTCAGAAACAAGATCTGGTATGTCTTCATGACTTCTGCCGGAGTTGAACATGCGTAACTGAGACTGGCCATCAAGGCCCACCGTCGAGCGCGCGAACGCAACGGCTCCCCAGCATTCGAGGATATTCAAGGAGGTCGGTGTTATCTCTTTTCACATGGAAGGTTAACATTCTGAACGTATTCGCGACAGATGATCATCGTGACCTCTCCCTTCAAACCCTTCCAACTCAACGCCAAGGGGGCGCCGCGCCGTGCAGTCATCCTCAAACAATATGAAGAGGAGATCGAGGAGTTGTACAGACAAATCGAGGACAGTTCTCAGAGCGATCTGCCAGCACCGTCCGTCTGGGATCAGGCCAGCACCCTATCTTTCGTCCGCGCCGTCGTAGAGCAAACACTACGCCGCACCATCGCGGACGACGACGACATCTTCCGGAACGGCGGTGACAGGTACGCTCCTATAACTTCCTTCTGGTTTCGCGGATCGCTGCTGAGACATTCTCCGCTTATAGTCTGCAAGCGACCTACATCCGCAACACCCTGATTCGCGCGGTGCGCGACACAGACGTCAAAGCCGCTGCGCGTCTCCCGGCGAACCTCGTCTTCCAGGCGCCCACCGTAGCCGGCCTTACCGATGTCGTCTACCGCGTTCTCCACGACGCCGATGCTGCCGGCACATCGTCGCGCACACCACAGGACCTCTGGAAGTACGTCGAGAAGTACTCTGCGAACTTCCCCTCGCGCCCGGCGTCCCTCGTCGACAGGTCAGCGTCCGCCAAGGACGTCGTACTGATCACCGGGACGACTGGCGGGTTCGGGTGCGACGCGCTCGAGCATCTGCTGCGCGACGAGAGCGTTGAGCGGGTGTACGCGTTCAACCGCGCGGGCTCAAACGCGCTCGAGCGGCAACACGCGCAGTTCCGCGCGAGAGGGCTGGACGAAGCGCTGCTCTCGTCGCCGAAGTTCAAGCTGATCGAAGCGGTCCTGCACGAGCCCGGGTTCGGCGTTGATCCGAAACTGCTCGACGAAGTGCGGCAGTCGATCACGCACATCATGCACAACGGTGAGTGGCATGCGATGTGTCGGAAGAGAGTTGGATGCTGACCTGAGCGTTGTACTCAGCTTGGAAGGTCAACTTTAACCTGTCTGTTGCTTCGTTCGAGCCCGACATCCAGGGCGCGCGAAACCTGGTCGATCTTGCCATCAGCTCGCCCTTCACGAAGGCGCCAACGATCGTGTTCGTTGGCTCAATAAGTGTCTTCACTCGTACGTGTTCGCTTATGTGACACTCGGCCGGGTGAGCTAACTTGGGAACAGGCTATGAGGGCCCCTCGCCCGCGCCCGAAGCATCTTTGGAAGATCCGACCTCTGCGTTTGGCTCGGGATATCCCGAAGGGAAGTGGGTGACCGAGCATGTCCTGCAGAACGTCGCGAAGGAGAGAGGCGTGCATACTGTGGCGATGCGCCTCGGGCAGGTGACGGGAAACCGCGTGGGCTACTGGAACGAGAAGGAGTGGTTCCCCTCCCTCGTCAAGTCCGCCCAGTTCCAGCGCTGCCTGCCGGATATCGAGGGGGTGCGTGCTCCCCAGCCTATAGTACTGCATAGCCATGACTGACCCGGTCGTTACAGAGCGTCTCCTGGATCCCGGGCTACGAGGCCGCTAAGGCGTTCACGGAGATGCGCCACTCGCCCCATCCCTTCCTGCACCTCGTCCACCCGAAGCCGGTATCCTGGCACACCCTTATCTCCGCGATCGCGAAGGAGTTCGGGAACGTCCCCCTCGTGCCCTACGACGAATGGCTGTCCGCGCTGCAGGCGAGCGTCAGCGAGGGTGACGCAGCGGAGGTCGAGCTCATGAGGGCGAACCCCGCCCTCCGCCTCTTGCCCTTCTTCCAGGCGGTCAATCAGCACGCGTCTCTGGATCGCGAGCCCCTTGGGCTCGTGTACCTGTCCACGGAGAAGTCGGCCGCTGTGTCCGGGGCGCTGGCTAATCTGCCTCAGCTGGATGCGGAGCGCGCGAAGGGCTGGCTTGCGGCTTGGAAGAGTGCTGGGTTTTTGTGAGCTGTATGATTAGGAGCTGCTTGGGAAGGGTCTCCCGCATGTACTCCTTATAGTCTATCTCGTCTAACTTTCTGCAATGTGCTTACGCCCTTGACTAGCATGTACATTTGTCTGAACTGTCGCCAAACACGTTCTGGTAGGAATGACCATGCATGACGTGCTTGGCAACTTATCGGGAATGGCTTGACCGAGCAGGCACGTCAGGTTTGTGTCACTTCACTATCGAGAGCATGCCTCGGCTAGTCATAAATAAACGGGCATTTCTGGAACTTCTGTAATCTTTCAACCGCATATATGCGCGTCCGGCGATCGCGCCAATAACAGGGAAACTAGACCTTCTCTTCAAGCTCCATCACCTCCCCCATAGTAGTGGTGCGCCCATCGTCTCCATTCCCCAGCGGCGGCGGTAGAGATATGGTGACCTAGAAAAGCATATTCAGACTCGACAGCGCGTCCCCGAGTCCGCACGAATACTGACCGGGTGGGTGCTGTGCTCGGCGGCGGACGCGAACGCGACGGTGCTCATGCTCACGGTGGGCCGCCGCAGCATATCGCCGGCGCCCGAATCGCGGGCGGTGGTGTCTGTTGTGAAGCCGTCCATCGTGTGCTCAGATAGGGAGCGTCGGGTGTTCAGCCTGGCGGTAGGCGTGATCAGCAAACAGTGCGCGGCCAGTAGTCGTCACCGAAGAAAGGAAGGGGGAGTACTCACACTGCGAGGACCGAGTTGGCGTACACTGGTGAGAGGGTATATGCGTCAGGTGAACCGCGCCTGTCCTGGGGGAAATGGGCACGCACACTTCGTGGCCGCGACGCCCATGGCGATGTATACCATACTGTCTGCGGAAAGGACTAGCGCCTGCATGGCCGGATGAGTGACCGATGAGTGACTCAACGGCGCAGGGCCCTCGCTGGTTCAAAAGACTCACGAAGATGAAGGTCAACGTGCCGCCGATGCTGGGGACGACAAAAAGATCAGCCTTGCGAGCAGATCGTTCGCGTGGAACTAGGGGAGACCTTGTAACCAAACCTGGTAGCGCTGTTTTAGACACTGGGCATAGCACAAATGGAGCAGGGAGCTCACCGGAGTTGATCGTGTATACGATGAGGGTCTGGACCATGGATTCAGTGCTGCTGGTCGTCAACGCCAAGTTCTGCAATGCACGCAGCCAAATGCGTGGGCAATAGTCACGTACGGTTTGGAGCCCGTCCGGCTCTTCAGCAGCACAGTGATGAGCACCCCGGTGACCATCGAGTCGAGGGAAAATGCGATTCCGTATATAGCGGATACGATCCACTGTGGTCGTCGTCAGGATATGATCGAAAAATCGCAGGCGTAAGTAAGTCACCCTGAGCTTTCCTACTGTTTTGAGCTGATGCCAGTGCTCGTGAGTATCGGTGACATATATCGCGATAGGACCCGTCTATTACTTACACTAGGATCTATGCCTTCCAACGCTGTTAGGTCTAGGGCGTATTTTAGTGCGGAATTCCTCTCAGTATGGAGACGACAGCAGCCGCCACTCACAAATTATGAAGCCTGGTAAAGCACAGTGATGGTCGGGCGTCATTCGCCATTCTTTATCGCGCGCGAGATTGGATGACGACTCACCAAACTCGGTGACGAGTAGAACGACCTGAGAGGCTCTTCTGTAAACAAGATACGAAATGACGCCTACTTTGAAGTGGCTGCGTACCGCGAATAGGGCCACCACCCGATACCGAGTGCTGACTGAAATGATTCTCAATCAGCGATGTAGTCCAGGGTAAACAAAGATTGTTCGAGTTCGCACCCATGTATATGCGGCGAATATAGAAGCTATATGCGCCAGGAATGTTAGATTGGAGACATTAGAAACGTCGAAGTATGTATTGAACAACTCACCCTTGACAAAAGGATATGGTAATCAACTAGTAGTTGGGGCGAGACATGAATACGTACACATTGATATTGGACGTGTAGTGCGCACTCACCGAGACTGGGGCCAAGAGCTGACGACATCCATGGGGCTCAGTCACTGCCATATGTGGATTCCGGTTTTGTCAAGAACCGCACTCACAATCAATGACCTGCATGTACCGGTCAGTCTTCGCACTACGGGGCCAGACATCGCTATAGGGATGGGCCTACCATGTGACGTCCGCGAGGGAGCTCGGGTTGAAGTAGTTGGTGACGAGATGATAGTAGCTGTCGAAGAGTGAGATTCTAAACATTACTCTCAAACATTCGACAGAGCCCCGTACCATATGTGGATGGTCAGGACCGTGTGCAACGTCTCCGCAATCCTTGCTGATAGTCAGGAGAATTGTCGTCGCGCATTGAATCGATCTTTGAGGCTCACAAAATACAGGAGACCTGTCGGCGACGATGCATTCAGTTTGGAGTAACTCGCAATGGCGCGGAAGACTTTCGCAAGTCGTAAGACATACCATATACTTCAACCACTTTCGGTCCTGCGGGTAAAGTCGAAAGTAGCGATAGGTTTGATGTAGAGTCAACCCATACAGCCTGAAATTTTACAGAGCAATGATGTCAGCTGGAAATGGCGGGAGGGAAGAGAGCACGCACAGTATACAGAAGCACATGCCAATGAAGAGTGCGCCAAACGAGCCATCGAGCGACGGGAGCTGTATGGGTATAGGGATGCCCTGCGTCGGGGGACCGGTGTTGGTAGAGCTGGCGTTGAAGTCCATGGGGAATGACTGGCAGGATGTCTCGGATATGATATGTCCCCGCGCTGCGCCGTATTTATCGTCGCAGAAAGAAGGTTCAGCGGCTTAGTGCTCGCTCAGCCCTGCGACGCCCTTTCCTCTAAAACTACGGTCGCCATCTTGGCGATGTGAATGAACATACTTTGCACTGGCAGGTTGATCAAACAGAGAGCGGTTCTGTGAATCCTAGCCGCGTAGAGCCCGCGTAGAGAAGTTGGCGTGGATCCAGTTTGCGCCGCCGCATGTTGGCCGGCACCCGATGCAGACTCGAGCTCCCAGGCGGAGTTTATGTGTATTTTGAGAGAGTGGGCGACCCTGAGAGAGTGGGAGACCCGGAGAGGACGTACAGATCAGCAATGTTCCTTGGGCATCGCAAGACTTGCAGAAGAGATGCCGTGGGATATCTGGGTTTAAATTGGCGGATCACTCGAGAGAGACCCCGCTGGAACTTGAGATTGAACATGGTTGTTGGCCACTGTTAGCTGGAGATGTCGTACCTATTCTGGCGTACATATTCCCGTCAGTAATTTGTCTTGGTTTTTGTCGTCTACCCTAGGCTAGAGATGGTGATCAGCTCGAAGGGGAGGTGGATAGTACCTTGCCAAACCCTGCACTGCCAGTGCGCCGTCCACCCCACACCCGCCGTGGATGAAGAAGAGCAACTGCGCTATACATCGACGGCACTGCACGTTGATCAGCGGAAGCATCCGACTTGACACCGATTGGTCGCACGCGTGCGCTTCGTGCACGACGTGATTCAAACGACTATCATCGCCGCGACAGCTTGGCATCCCATGCTGTACACACTTCCTGCTAGGCACAAGGGGCGTCAGCAGTAGTTGAACGTTGTCACTGCGTCCAGCTCACTGTCGCACAGCTAGACAAAGCGATAGCGTATGCGGAATAAAGCCGATAGCAGTAAAGAATGTGAGCGTTGTGCAACAGTACATTGCTTTCGCGTTATTCAATGAATGTCATATGGAAAGAGTATTCCGACTATCCAAGCAGCAGCATCAGCAAACGTGCAGACAAACATAGCTATATCACTCACACGAACGGCACCACGACCTCCATCGTCGGCGACCACGGCAACGTCCGCGCCTGCCCTAAGCCCGCCGCATATATCGGCTCCTGGTAGAACCGCGCCGCCCACGTGAACCACGCGCACACCCACACGTACCCCAGCACGCGCGGCGCCCGTGGCACGCCCGCCCTGCGCGCGAGCGCGATCACCCCATCCTCGAACGTGATCCCGGCGGCGTTCACGAGGAAGAACGCGAGGGAGACGCGCCCGAAGTACCGCACGGAGTGGCCGAGCGTGACGTCGCCCAGGCAGTGCAGGAGCGCGGACGCGAGGAAGGCCGCGTGTACCTGGATCTGCGAGGAGAGGAAGGTGCCGCGCGGGATGTGGAGCGTGCGCACCGCGGCCTTGCCCCAGTGCGAGAAGTGCTATGGAGGGACGGGTGAGGATATTCCATGCTATGACGAGACGCGCATGGCAGACGTACGCGGCGGAGGACCTGGTGCCAGACGCGCCTGAAGAAGATGGTCAGAGACTCTGTGTATGAGCAGAACGGCATAAAATGACCTACCCCCAAAGACGACGGACGGTGTATGCGTCGGACCAATTACCGAAGAGGTCTGGCCAGTCTGCGGGTGCCCACAGGAATAACGCTACAACCACGAAGGACAGCCCAGAGTACGATAGCTTGATAGTCGTGTATGTGTTCATGAGCCAGACCGCCATGCAGCCCGAGCGCATCAGATATCCTGCGGCCCCCGGAGGGAAATGCGCGTCGCTCACCCCAGGGGTGTACAGATGGGGGTGAGAGTGGACGAAGGACTCGATGAGGTCGAGCATTACCAGGCACACGCATATCTGACGGAGCCGCAGCAGCAGGTACCGCGCCCTGGTTCCTCTGAACGGCGGGGGCACATTCGCAACCTGTCCGAGTTGGGGCTCGTCAGTGAAATGCACGTGGCCATATCGAAGTGCCAGCGGAAAGAGCAAACCTGAGCGTTCGTGCCGATGAGGCGCCAGTTGTGGTGTATACAAACCGCATACCAGATCCGCGTGAGGAGTGGTTTTTCGGTGAGCGGCGCAGAACCTTCCTTGAGGTACCGAATGTCGCGCAGCGGGTCCGGGATCAGCCAGGTGAAGAGTATAGTGTTGAGTATGAGGGTCCCGAAGAGGCTGCTGCCCAGCGAGTAGTCGTCGTCTGGCTTGCCCAGGGTGTACGACACGGCCCCGTATGCGCATGCACAGAGAAGGAGAACAGACGCGGCGATCCGGACTGGGGTTAGCGGCAGGGTAGCCATGATGCATGCCAGCGCGGCCTCCGTGAAGAGGATGAACGCCGGGAGCGGCAGGGCTGGTTGGCTGGAACCCGTAGCGTCTTGCATCGCTAGCGCTGTTGGAACCTAGAAGTGTGAGGGGAAGGGGGGCGAACCCCCACCGTGATGAGTTTTGAAGAAGAAACGGTGGACGAGATTTCACCGCGACTGGAGGCGCTAGTCCCTGTTTGAACTCACGTTTCGATCGGTCTGTCAATGTGTGCACAAGGCATGCTACTCGTAGTACATACAGAGCACGCTAGAACACGATGTCGTTGCGGCGATATTACTATTAATTAGTTGGAATCACGACGGCGAAGTTCGGGACACCGTTGATCAATTATTGTGTTCCCTGCCTCGGACTCTGCTACACCCCGACTCACCTCACTTCAAACACACTGGAAGCACGCTGGAGCATCGTCATCACGGTGACTGTTAGGTAGGATCTCATAATACTTACCACATCTTGAGTCTGTTTCGAGGATGGTCCGCCGGAAGGACGCCAAGCTCGAACGCCCGGGACGGGCGCTATATAGCTGATAAATTGAGACTCGGCGTTCCCACGGTAGGCCTCCCAGTGCCCACTGTCATACTCTCTCAGGCAACTCTTATGGTCCCTCAAGGACCTCCATTTCCCTCAGTCCTCCGAAAGCTGGCCGAAAATGACATGAGTATCCGAGCATACCTCAGGTCGAAACCTACACCGCCCAAGGAGCCGCGCACACTACACGGCGTCACAAAAGGCCGTCGAGCGGATGTGTCCTCTACCGCCAACCACCTACAAGCCCAAGCGCGATATCACAGACCAGTCGCACTCCGTCTGTCCGAGAAGCAGCGTGAGCAGAGACACAGACGAAGATCGCTGAACTACTCACAGGAATGGCAGCACAATCTCCCTCATGGGCGAATACGGCAGCGTCGGCACCCGCCCCATCCCCGCCGCATACATCGGCTCCTGGTACAACCGCCCCGCCCACGTAAACCACGCGCACACCCACACGTACCCCAGCACGCGCGGCGCCCGCACGCGCGCCCTGCGCGCGAGCGCGATCACGCTGTCCTCGAAAGTGATCGCAACTCCATTTATGAGGAAGAATGCACAGGAGATGCGCCCAAAGTACCGCACGTCGTGCGCGAGCGCGACGTCCCCGAGGCAGTGCAGGAGCGCGGACGCGAGGAAAGCGGCGTGCACTTGGATCTGCGAGGAGAGGAAGGTGCCGCGCGGGACGCCGAGAGTGCGCACCGCAAGCGTGCCCCAGCGCGAGAAGTGCTGTGGAGGGACGTATGAGGATAATTTAGGCTGCAGGGCGCGCGTGGGGGACTTACGCGGCGTAGAACCTGGTGCCAGACGCGCCTGCAAAAAATGGTCAAAAACTGTGTGCAGGGTAATAGAGGGGTGAATGTGACTCACCCCCAAAGACGGCGGACAGTGTAAGCGTCGGACCACGAGCCGAAGAGGTCTGGCCAGTCCGCGGGCGTCCACAGGAACGACACCACTGCGATGAACGACATCACAGAGTACGATAGTTTCAGGATCATGTAGGTCATGACGAGCCAAGCAGCCATACAGCCCGAGCGCTGCAGGTGTCCTGCGATTCCTGGGGGGAAGTGCGCATCGTTTACCCCAGGCATGTATAGATGAAAGTGAGAGTGGACGAAGAGCTCGACAACGTCGAGTGTCACCAGGCTCACGCATATTTGGCGGAGCCGTAGGAGCAGATATTGCGCCCTCGTCCCTCGGAATGGCGGAGGCACGTTCGCGACCTGTCAGGGCACGTCAGTGAACCGTGCGCGGCAGTACAAGTGGCGACAAAGGCAGACCTGGGCATTCGTGCCGATGAGGCGCCAGTTGTGGTGTATACAAGCGGCGTACCACACCCGCGTGAGGAACGATTTTTCGGTGAGAGGCGCAGTATCTTTGAGGTACCGAATATCGCGCAGCGGGTCCGGGATCAGCCAGGTCAAGAGCAGGATGTTGAGTATGAGCGTCCCCAGGACGGTGCTTCCCAGCGCGTAGTCGTCATCCAGCTTGCCCGAGGTGTACGATACGGCCGCGTGCGCGCACGTAGACAGGAGGAGAACAGATGTAACGATCCGGACGATGGTCGGCGGCCGGATAGCTATGACACACGCGAGTGCTGTCTCCGTGAGGAGGATGACTGCCGGGAGCGGCAGCGGCGGTTGGCTGCCAGTGGGGCCCATGGTGTCTTGCATCGCTGTTAGAGCCTATAAGTATCGCGACGTGGCCAGCACTCGTAGCTGAGAACCGCGGGGGGGAAATCGCCTTTCCAGACGGGTTTTGAGGAAGGGGTATCGTACGAGACATCGCCACGATGCAGGCCACTACTTAGTCCCTGTTGAATGATTGAGCCCCCCGTTCCGATTGGTGCACCGCAGCGTGTACCAGGCACCTATCTAGTACTAGAGTTCTGAACGTGCTGTTCGTCGCCGCGGTGATAGTACGATTCGGCGTGCGCGGGGTTTGCGATGCGCGCTCGTCGGTGATCAACGCATCCCCGGACCCCTGTCCGACTCGGAAGACCCTGATACATTCAGACTCGCCCACCACCGGCTTACTTCATTTGTCCGTCCTTTTTGTCACCGGAAGCTCTCCATGGTGATGTGGCAGCGGTGACTGTTGAGTATGCATGCATGCGGTGCGAGTAGGGCTCACCACGATAGCCGATGACAATTGTGGGCCACATCCTCACTCGCGCCACGAGCGGTCAGGAAGACAAGGTGAAATCTCCGCATAGCGCATCCCAATCTCCGTCGTGATTGATGCTGCCGAGACATAACCTGATAATCTAGACTCTAGAGAGGCCAGCCGTGTTGCAGTGCCAGTGTCCGCCCTTAGCGCGAGATGACCGCTGTGCATAGCCATTTGGCCATATCATCCCCCTAGCATGTGCACGATGATATCGAATCATAGGAGAGTAGTATAGTGGCGGATTGTCGAGCAGATGGATATATGTAGCTATGTCTTGAGTCAACCTCAGGTCCTCGGCAAGAGACAGTTCGGGACGGGCGTCTCAAATTGAAACCCAGCGTTCCCACGGTCGGCCCTCCCCGTTCCCCACATTCATGCTCACACAAAGGCTGTCTTGCGCGTTCGGCCCCTTCAGCTTGCCTGCAGTTTCCAAATGATTTTCTTCCTAAGGAGTCATAAATCTCGCACACATTCCTATCTTTGTCACTGGATATATCAGGTGCGGTCAAAATCTACGCCGCCTGCCAAGTAGCCACGGACCATCACCAAGCGTTCTTACTGTCGAGCTTACTCGGATCGGATCCTGCAGCTACTACAAGGTTAGTGATGAGCATCTGTCGCTTTGCCCCCCAAAGGGCTTCATGACTTTCTTACTCAACGGATGCCTCAGGTGTCGCAGACTGACCTAGTGCGGCTGGCCCAGTAGAAGCACAATATCAAACTTCATCTGCGACACTGCAGAGCATTGCCCCATACTCAACACGGGCCCAATGTGTCCATGCCGTTTTCTTCGGGTAGGCTGTGACGCAGAACACCACTTTTTGATTGATACGTCGGTGCACGAACCGTCCCATGATCAAAGGAGAACTTAGGTTCTTTCACAATATGCGCCGAGACGGTGTTCATAGCATGTTGATAAGGAGCCCTCAAACCTGCTCCGTACGTCAGTATATACAGCGCGCTGCATCGTCATGCTGCACCAGCCCGCGACAGAGTTTCAACCATGGCCACCAACGCCAGTACGCCCACGACGAATGACATCCCAATCCAACTCCCATCACTCAGCGACTCGTTCGGCGCACTCTTCATTGGCATGTGTATCTGCATATTGTACGTCATCTCTCACTGTCCCAGACATTCGTAACTAACAGTCTTGTTTTGCGAAATGATAGCCTGTCCGGTTTGACTCTGCACCAAGCCTATCGCTACTTTCGACTCTATCCGCAAGACCAAAAGTGGCTGAAGGTCATGGTATGTCTGGCCAAATATTTTTCTGGCCTGAAAGCCATTCTGGAAATTCTGAATGAATACCTTTGTACAGGTCTTGTTTATCTGGTGAGGCTCAAGGAAGAGCAGACGGCAATAAGATCTGACCCTCGGCACGGGCAAGGGTTTCGGAGACATTGCACACGATCATGATCATCCATGTGTGGTACGAGACTTCGTCCTATTGCATCGTGTTAATGGTATTAAAAGACTCACTTATCGACAGTTACTATCATCTGGTTACCAACTACTTCAATCCGGTCTCCCTCGGGGATGTCACCTGGTAGGATTACCCTTATTGCGACCGTCGGCCACGTAGTACGAACGCTGACTGGGACATGCAGGTCACTGAGAGTGAGTGTTTTTCTTTAGCGAAGCTGGCTACATATACCACATGTTACATATTGATTATCCTGTACGTCGGCAGCTCTTAGCCCCCATTTCTGTGAGTATACATAGACTCTTTGGCTTCAGAGTGTACATACTCATTATACATCCTCGCCAACTCCAGGTGGTTGCGATGGTCCTCTGTCAAGGGTGAGCCCCCCAATACATATGCCACTGGCAATGTCTTATCAACCCCTCTTTCGCCCCACGCGCACCAAGCTTCTACGTTCGCCGTGTGTACATGAGTACGGCAGGTTTTTTCAGTGCGAAGGGACATTACTGATTGGGAAGAATATCAGTCAGTCCTCGTTACAGGTTGCTGGTCGCCATCGCGGTGAGTAGACGGGTCGGCGTTACACTACACGTTGCTTACAGATAGCTTCTCAGGTCGTATTACTCACAACCGAGTTTGGTGAGCAACTGTCAAAATTCGACCACTGTAAAGAATGACGGCTCACAGTCTCTGAAAACCGGCAACTAGCTTTCATGATCTGTGAGTGACAACCGCCATGTTAATCGATGACTCTAACTGGTACTGGTACCCCATTACATCGTCGCAGACTTGACGGTGTTGGCCTTCATCGATCACGATGTAAGTGGGCGGGTTATGTTGTGGTACGTGCCACCGAGACGCTATACTCACCTTTATCAATACCAGCTGCAAGAATTCAACCAACTCACGGAAAGTTGGGTTTGCCGACGAATATATGATAGCTCATATATTGAGAATGTACAGTGGCTTGTGTCCGCCATATACGGGCTCGCATTTTCCGTAGACTCACTAGTCACGGGCGTCCTCATCATGGTGCTGCTGAAGAGTAGGACGGGCTTCAAGAGGTACGTGCGGATACATACCGGAAATACAGTGACGATTGGTGCTGACGGCCAGCAGCACGGACTCTCTGATACAGACCCTCATCGTGTATTCGATCAACTCCGGTGAGCGTCCTTGCTCCGCCTGCGTCATCGCGATGCAGGGAAACAGTGACTGAACCATGCTGTTTTAGGCCTCGTCACAAGGTAGCCTCCAGCCCTGGCGCACATCCGCCCTGCACAGCAAGACTGATTCTTCGTCCCCACTGCAGCATCAGCGGCATTCTGAGCTTCATCTTCGTGAGTTTCATGGATCCGCCCGTACTCCCGCTGTCACTTAGCAAACACTGCAGGCTCTCGTCATTTCCGGAAATATGATCTACATCGCTATGGGCGTTGTGGCCACGAAATGTGCGTGCCCACTCTACTCGAAATGCGCACGCCCCGACCGACGCATTTCTTCCCCATAGTCTACGCCACTTCGGTCCTCGCAGTGTGAGTGAACGCCTGTCTCTTGACACCGGCCGCGCGCCGCTTCGGCTTACCACATCCGGTGATTAGATTGAACGCCCGACGTTCCCTGTCCGAGAGCACGATGGACGGCTTTACGACGAACACCGCCCACTTCGGCGGTAATCTGCAGCCTGCTATGAGTAGTGCGGCGTTCGCGTCCACCCACAGCACGCACCCGGTGAGCGTTCTCCGACAGAGTTCAGCATTGCGCCATCCCTGAGGAGAGTTCACTGATGCCCTTTCTTAGGTCACCTTCTCCCTCTCTCCGATCTCGGAGGGCATGGACACTGCGCAGTTGGACACTGGGTCTAACTCAACCATGGCAGAACTGACGGGAGCAGAAAAGGTCTAGTAGGAAGTGGGCCCTGGATGTGCATAGCTTCAACAACTTCTTGGACGCTCAATCTTGACTGCCCCAATAGATGGTCCTCATCCTTCTCCCGTCCACAAGTGTCGATGTATATAAGTGTATATATTCTTGTATATTTTATTCTCGGCGTACGGTTCGGCTATCGTGTACCCATCATGCACAGAACAGCCATAACGAGACAAAAAAAATCCATCGGAGAACAATTGCATGACGCAGCTCTTCAGCCTCTCTGCGTGTAGAGCTTTCGCCAAAATGGTAAATAGCCTGCCACAGATAGAACGATACTAATAGCCGATATGATGTTGATGTCTCTTAAACACCCAAACGGAGGAATAGTGCGTCAACTACCGCGCTTTCATTCATGCTTCTACCGCCCATGAACCATATTGTAAGTGAATCAGCCGCGCGAATGTGCCCTTTCGGGTTACATCTATTTCTGCGGGGAACCCGCCATCCGTCTGTTCATCTAAATACATTCACCGCCTGCTCTGCGTTCCAACGTTCCTTCGCAGGCGTCTCAAGAAGTGCTCTACGCGCGCTACTACTAGCGGAAGCCGAAAAGTGTCATACACGGTTTCCCGAGCCATCTCTCGAAGTCCCTTACACAAGATCCGTCCTACCGCCACCAACCCACAAGATGCGCTGGATGCTACAGGCCGGTTGCGCCCCGACTGTCCGATAAGCAGCGTCAGCGCGAAACACAAACGAGTACCGCTGAACCACTCACAGGAAGGGCAGCACCACCTCCCGCGTCGGCGAATACGGAAGCGTCGGCACATGCCCCATCCCAGCCATGAACAATGGCTCCTGGTAGAAGCGCACCGCCCACGTGAACCACACGGCTGTCCACACATAGCCCAGCATGTATGCGATGCGCGTCGGCCCGCGCACGCCTAACCGCTGCGCTAGCATAATGACCGCGCCCTCGAACGTGACGGCAGCTCCGTTCAGGAGAAAGAACTTGAACGAGTTCCCTAGATAGCGCGTGCCGTGGCCGATCGCGAGGTCGGCGATGGTGTGCAGGACCGCGGAGGACAGGAAGGCCCCATGTATTTGTGCTTGGGAGGATAGGAAGGAGCCCCGCGGCGCACCGATCACGTGCGCCGCGAGCTTGCCCCAGTGCGCGAAGTGCTGTAAAAGAGCGGATGAGAAGGATGAGCATAGGATGAGGCGCGCGACGGGCTTACGCGGCGTAGCAGTTGGTGCCAGACCCTCCTGCATAGACCGGTGAGATACAGCGGCGCGACCCTGAGACATGAAGGACGACGTACCCCCATACCCGGCGCACGGTATACGCATCATACAGGGACCCGAACAGGTCCGGCCAGTCCGCGGGCTCCGAGAGACACGTCGCGACGACAGCGGAGGAGAGCACGCAATACGACATATTCAGGACTGTGTAGGTTATGACGAGCCAAACCGCCATGCAGCCTGCGCGTGCCAGGAACCCCATGAGACCGGGAGGAAAGTAGGCTTCCTTTACGCCGGGTGTGAAGAGGTGGAGATGGGTATGCATGTAGGCTTCGGATATGTCGAGCATGACTAGGCCCAAGCATATCTGGCGGAGTCGTCGCACGAGGTACTGCGCCCTCGTTCCCTTAAACGGTGGGGGTACGTTTGCCACCTATGGTATATTGTCAGCACCTTACATACTCCGCAAAAATCGCAAAGCCGTAGAAGCGAACCTGAACGTTCGTGCCAACAAGACGCCAATTGTGGTGTATGCAGCCTGCATACCACATCCGCACCAGGAACCCTTTTTTGTTGAGAGGCACCGGGTCTTTGAGGTAGCGAACCTCGTGCAGGGGGTCCGGCATCAGCCAAGTGAAGAGTATGGCGCTGAGCGTCGTAGGGCCCCAGACGCTGCTACCCAGTCCGTAGTCGTCCTCCGGCTTGCCCGCTGTGCATGCGACGGCCCCATAGATATTGAGGCAAATGAGAAGAACGGCTGCGCCTATCCGATGCGCGGGCGGTAGCTGGATGGCTATGATAAATGCCATCATGACCTCTGAGAGGAGGATCACTGCTGGCAGCGCCGGCGAAGGCGTGGACGTCGCTTCCGCATCTACCATGGCTGTTTCTACGTCGCTATTGCAGACCAGTCAGCAACTTCCTTGAAAATGGGCGTGGTGGGGGTGAACGGATAGGAGGCCCACCCAGACGCACCTCGGAAACGGGGGGGCTGTATGCCAGACGTCGGCGTCGCCACGAGTGCAGTCCCGCAACCCTGAGCCACCGAAGTCCTAGGGACGCGATAGGGTTCAGTGATGGCGGTATGAATCACAGTGTGCGCTCCGTTTGCCATGCGCTTATAGAACGTGCCAGGACGCTCGTGGTGGTATGGAAGCTGCGACGCCAAGTTCGACAGAACCGAATTTGAAGGCAGTATTCATCTGTCATCGCAACGTCTTAGCGCAGTAGATATCAAGAAGGCTAAAAGTCAGTAATACACATACCAGAAGAAGGCGCGACGTACACGCATCTTACGCCGCAGTTTGGCCGCAAGAATTTTCTCATCGGTGATGAATGGGTGCATAGCCAAGCTGCTACTGCCACCGTAGCTGCATTAAGCAGGTAGTAGACTGGTCAAAGACGCTGGGGGAGTGTTATAGAGTAGAGACAACATCGACAGCGGTGGACTGAGAGAAATTCCCCAGCTCGGAATCTTCGCCCCATCTCCGACGGTATACACAGTCGGCGCTTGTCTTACATTCTCGAATACAGCCTGAGCCCACAACTTTCTAAGACGCGTATGCCTCCTCACTCTAAGCAGTCGTCCTGCTCTGCACCCACTCTTCAATGGCCGTGTTCGCATTGGTCGTGATGACCTCCCACGCAGCATCGATATGCTCCCTCCTCGTGCGCTGCGCCCCGACCGCGAACCGAATGCAGAACGTGCCGTTCAACACCGTCTGCGTCAGGAATATCTTGTCCGACGCGCCCTCGATGCGCCGGTGGAACGCGCGGTTCAGCTCGTTGTGGGCCACCAGACTGTCTTCATTTGCGGCGAGAGAAACGGACTGCGGGATGACGAGGCGGAAGACGGAGAGCGCGAGGCTGGGCGTGGTGACGAGCTCGAACCGGAAGGGAGAGGCGCGGATGAAGGAGGCGAGGTACTCATTCAGCGCGATGCCCTATGAGACGTGATAAATGAATGGAGTCAGGGCCTGAGTGAGGGAGTGACACACCTCGCGAATGTGATTCCTGAAGCCCTCCACGCCGTAGCGCCGCAGGACGAACCAAACTTTGAGGGAGCGGAAACGCCTGCCGAGCCCGAGGTGCCAGTTGCGGTAGTCGATGACAAGTCCTGTCTCGAAGTCAGCTTTGCATGCTTACTTCGACGTAGAATTTCAGGCTTACCAGCATCATGCTGTTTGGTCCGCAGGAACTCCGGAGTCACGTCTAGCGCGTCCGTTAGATCCAGCCTGTTCCTTACCCATAGCATCGACGCGTCGAAGTTGACTAGGCCCCACTGCGGTAGCCCCATTATGAGACAAACACGGGTGTATATCAGGTTGCAGCTTACTTTATGGAAGTTCGTGCAATAGGAGGTGGCGTATTGGTTGATGGGGTCGAGCTTTCCGAAAGTGCGATATTCGGGACAAGCCATCGCCACACCTGCCCATGCAGCATCCACATGGAGCCATATGGAGGGATGCTCCTTCACTGTAAAGTCGAGTGGGTATATGCGGTGTATAACTTACTTGTCCGCAAGGCGACTTACGAACTTCGCCAATCTCCTCTAGGTTATCTACGGCGCCGGAAGAAGTCGTCCCGACGGTGGCAACTGCGCAGCAACACTGTCAGCTATCTTTTCAGCCCCATCATAGCAGTCGCAGACGTACTCGTGATAAATGGCCGTTTGCCCTGCGCCAGGTCCTCGGCGAGCGCCTGGCGCAGAGTCTCGCCGCGCAAACTGTATTCGTCTTCGGGTGTGACTTCGAGGGCATGGACCTGCAGACCGAGAACAAGGCCGGCCTTGACGCCGAGAGAATGCGTCTGTGTCGTGGTGTATATGACGAGGTCCTCTAGCTTCGCGTCCGGATGCTCGCGGACATACCGGGCGCGAGCGGCGGCACAGACTACGATGGCTGCCTCAGATGCAGTCGTCTATGCGCATATATACACTTCAGCTATCCATATCGCGGCTGCAGCTCATGACATACCTGGATAACACCGCCACCTACACCGTTCTTGTTCAAGAAGTGGTCGCCGAGGCCAAGGAGCTTCGCGCACCAGTCCATGACGACCTGCTCGAGCTCCGTGCATGCGGGGCTACTGAGCCACTGTCGTAGGTTCAGCGTGAAAACAGAGCATATTCGAAGTGTAGACGCACATTGAAGCCAGGATTGGACACGCTCGACGCATAGAGATCTCCAAGAATGCCCTCAAAGCTGCCGGCGGTCGGGAAGTACGCGAAGAAGTTCGGGTGCTGCCAGTTCGTAATGCCGGGCAGGATCAGCTTCTGAAAGTCGTTTGCGATCTCGTCGAAGTCCTCCGCTTCGTCTGGCGGATGTGCTATAGGATAGCAATGATCCCGTTAGTATTTTCTGGAAGAGTCCTTCGACAAGTTCTAGCTCTTACATGGGAGTGCGTCTACTAGATATCCGGGCTGAACCTGGGACACAACTGGGCGATCCTGGAACGATGCATAGTAGTCGCAAATCCGGTCGATGGCCTGATATCCGGCCTTGCGAAATCTGTATAGCGAATTCGATGGGGAATGCGATCGACGTGAAGCACGTCCGATTAAGCTACGAGAAAGACGCACTCTTCAATATCCATGGCGTGGGCTAGCGTCGTCAATTGAGCCTGATCACAACCTGAACCAGTTCTAATGAGCTGGCTGCTCAATCGGTAGGGGTATGTTTGAAACGACCTGTGAATCGTGATGAGTTAAGTCAAAGATTACACGGTTGCTTATCAACATCTCTCTCTCTCTTTGCTCCGAAATGTCTAGATCACTTTTCGATCACTCACCCAATGCAAGTAAGATCTTCCGGACTCCGCGAGAACGCTCGTCGACGTTGGTCCTTCGTCGACCTCACTCAGAGTTACCGATGTTTCGTAAAGAACATCGCACGGCGTAGACTGGCAGACATGGTCCTGTCAGTGCCGTGAGAGGTTCGGGGACGCTCGTGGGCATCGATGTTGGTGGGGGAAGGTGAATGAAATATTAATGTAAGCGCTGAAAGACACCGCCGGCCACCGGCCGCGCGACTCCGAGTCCGACGGTGCTCTCAGCACTGTTGCAACTGAAATTCCCTACTGAGAGTCAGTGAGATGAAATCAATCCGCATGCGTAAAAAGTAAGATGTTGCATGAGATAGGAAGACAAGCGTAACTAGTTTACAGAACATTCAACAACAGCGAATACAGAACGCTCGTTACTCATTTGGCGCGTACCTCAGCGCGCCCAAATCGTGTCGGCTGCAAAGCCAGCCGCCAAGAATCGTCGTGGAAGTCGTAATCTCCCTGCACCTCAGGTCATGAAGACGTAGCGCGGGTCGTCGTCCCAGACCTCTCCTTCCGCGGCCGGGGCATCCTCGCCCTTGCTCTTCTCCGGCTCCTCCGCAGCCATCGCGCGCACCTTCTCAGCGTTCGCCCTGTTAAGGCGTGCCAGGCGCGTGCGGAGCAGGAACGCAAATATGAACGACGCGAACAAGCACCTGAAGAGCGCACGGTCAGCCATGAGGGGTTGCGCGCACGGTGATAGACGGAAGACTCACGCTGCGGCGATCGCGTGGCCGACCCGGAAGTCGTGCTCTGAGTCGAAGTAGATCTGGGGTGATGCGCTTATGTCGATAGTTAGAAACGCTTGAACAGAGCGAAATGCGGGCGAAGGCGAGACGTACATGGAGACACAGTTCGAGATCGACACGATGAAGGCGGTGCCGACACCGCGCTTCGACGTCGGCGAGAACACGTTCGCCGCCCAGCTCCTGCGATGACTTCGTTAGCACGAGATTTCCACACCTTGTGAAGAGACACGCACATGACGAGCGGGAAGAGACTGTAGTTCCCGCCAACAACCAAGAACAACGCAAAATACCGGCCGCCGATCATGCGCGAGCTAGTGCCCTTGCCCGCGAGCGCCGCAAGCACGATGTACCCCACGCACGAGATCGCGGTGGAGAGCATGATGTGGTACCCGCGGTCGCGCGTGCGGTCGCTGTGCCAAGCCTGGAAGAACACCAAGAACCAGCCGACCGCGTATGGCGCGACGGTCAGCCCCTGGGACGAGAGCGGGCTAAACCCGAGCTCGTTGATCAGCTGTTGTATAGGCATGTGAATGGATGTGAGTGTATGCGCGCGCAGGGGCACGTACGGTGGGCAGGAAGTACGAGATCGTCGCGACGCCGACGTTAACTGACGAGTGCCGAGTTAGTCTAAGCTCCATATGCAAGGAAAATATACTTACAGCTCGCGTAGATGACCATGAGCGCCCATGCGTTGAAGTCGTTTACGACCGCCTTGAAGCCCTCCCAGCCGGACATGCCACCGTGGGACTGCGGGCGGTGGTCGCGGTTGACGCGCGCCTGGGCGATCGCCTTCTCACGCGGGGTGAGGAAGGACGCGGTGAACGGGAAGGAGGGGAGGAGGAATAGGATGGTGGAGGCCATGATCAGCGTAGGTATTGCTTCGATCTGAGCTTGAAGTTAGCAACGTTGAAGCTGGAGGAGACTGCTGATGAGGGATGCATACGAGGAAGAGGAACTGCCATCTGGTATGCGATAATCAGTGTCGTGCAATGAAAGGGAATGTGAAAAAAGTACCCTGTGAGCAGAGAAGTATGTGCGCGGACGAGGCCAAACGCGAGCAGGCCCTGTTGGTAGTATGCGTGAGGACGATATTTTATTTGAAGCGAGAAAGAAGCCTACCCCAATCGCTCCGGGGAGCGTCCCAGTCATACACAAGCTGCATTGATGTCAGGAATTAAGTGCAATTTTAAATGCGTCGCCAGGACACACCTGATACGCATCGCAAGCTCGGATCTAAAGGGACTGTAAGTGACTAGATCTAATTAAAACCTTTGTGAACTCACCGCTTATACCTAGGGACATCTGGTGTCAGCGGGTATCGCGTCCGAAAGGCTCGAAACATACCAGAATGACAAGTAGTAAATCATCCCTGCATAGTAACCCGCTTCCCCAATCCCGAGCATAACTCTGCGCCGGAATGGCATGAGCAAGGCTTTTTTGACAGAGAATGAACGCCGTACCGTAGCGCGAGCAGACCGCCATAGCCCTTGGCATATACGAACGACAATGATGCAATGCCCCACCAGGTAAGGGAGAGGAAGAAGCTATTGCAGACGCGGATCCCCAGTCAGCAGCTTGTCGTACGGACTGTGTTTTGAAGGCAAACGTACAATCGGTTAGCGCCAATATGCCGTTGCAGCACTATCGTTCATGGATGTAATCAGGAAACACGTTCTACGAACGAATGTAGTAACAAAGGAGGCATACCGTTCGCGGGCATCTCCAAAATGCCTGTTCTGATGCATTAGCGAGGCTATTCGGTGGACGTGCAATTCAGGAGCAGGACGTACAGTATCCCACATAGAAAATGCTCAGTGCAAGCGTCCATTTGTTGTTGTCCGTGATCCCCTGCATCCGGTACAGATTGAGCATGTGACATCGAGGTCGCGGGGCTCTTTACTTACGAAGTTCTGGTTGAAGGCCTTGAGGACATGAGCATTTCCGCTGTAGTGTGTGTTGTCAGCACTACGGTTTGCAGAGCCTCAACTCAGAGATGGAGCGCACATGTTTGTACGATCTGCGGAGAAAAAGAACCCGAGCGTTAGTCAAGCGGAACTGTCAGGATACCTGAACCGAAGTAGGCTACTGACCGAACTGGTTGACTGTGTGAGAGGAGGACGATCCATGAGAGACACCCGGGGTTGGAGTGATAACAAGTACGTACAGATATAGCTAAGCGAAACGGAAAGAACGGAAGGTTGTTATAAATACGAGCACCCCAGAAATGTTTTCATGGACGCTCACCTGCAGACCACGAGGGATAGCACTCTCACGTCTATCTTCCGCCGCACAGCCCTCTACGAGCCGGCTCAGCCCGTGGGTTCGCGACAAACACATGGTCACTTACCTCTTCCTCCTCCGTGAATTCGACATTGTCGGCGTCCCGGTTGACGGCTTCCGCGAGGGAGGCATCGGGAGGAGAGAAGAAGTGTTTCCGCTCCGCTATCCCAGCGACCTGTGCTTGGTGGAAAGTGCCCTCTGAAAGCGTCGAGTCCTGCACCATGACCGGCCCTTCTTCAACCTTGTCAGCAGGCCTCGGCTCGGAGCGGACAGAAGGGGAATGCGTGTCGGGCATGGCTGGTGAGATGCGGAGACCGTGGACGGTGGGCGGTCAACGTCCTCCATGCAGGCGCATTCGGGCGATTTATATGCGCGTCCGATAGCGAGACCTGTTCCTTGCTAATCGTCCGCTGTCTCGGTCTGCATGATGGGAGAGGTCAAGTGCAATGCCTCTCGTCAATCCCGCGGTCAGTTGGCCCTGTCATGGGGCCGGCGGGCGAGCGCTCCAGCCGTTTTGAGCAGCGATATTCCAAATTTGGCAGGCGTAGTGGTTGCGGAGTCGCAGGCCCAGGATGCCGAACGGTTATTCCAATATTCCCTTGATATCTGGAAGGAAAGACCGAAACACAACTGCGAGTCTCGCTCACGAGTGGATGCGCGCAGGAACATGGTGGTCCGCTGCAGAAAATCAGCGGTTCGTGATTGGTCCATGCAGCACCAGATGCGGCCCGTAGCGTTCCGAGGATACAGTCGTTTGCATAAAGATGTGCAGGTCGGGCTTTTCGCGCCGATTTGTTTGGCCCGGCCAAATAAAGCCTGATATAGTAGGTATCCGGCGCCTGATAGCGCGCCGTGACAGGTCGCGCCAGACGAGACGCGTCGCGACGCGCGCGCGGGTTGCAACGCGCGCGGTGAAGTACTTCACATATTGCATATCGCGTCTAATGGAGGACTCTATTATGTATGCTGTACAAGATAGGATGGTCTATGAATATCCGCAGTTCAGAATGAACCCGCGCGCGCTCTCTGCCGAAACTGAGGCCGCCGCTTGGTGGATTAGCCACGGTCGCACCTCGGGCATGACAGCACGGTCCTCGTGGCGACGCAGCCACGACTTGACACAATGAAAGGCTTGCTCGATGGGGTTCATGTCGGGCGAGTAGGGTGGTAGATAGATTAGTTTTGCGCCTGCAAACATGAATCTGGGACAGCAATTTTGCAAGGGGTGAGAAATGACTTACCACAGTCATCGACTACAATGCTCCTGACCTCTTCGTCGTGGTGTATCGCACAGTTGTCCATGACGACTACACTCCTCGGGCCCGGATATGGGTTAAGAAGAGGAGCCTAAACATGATCAGACATCAAAAAGAAACAACACACAATGTAGAGCATACTTACCAGTTCGCTCTCGACAAAGCTGATGAATCTCTCCTTGTTTACGGACCCCTCGAATATGTCCAGGGCAATGAGACCGTCCACAGTAAGCGCAGGAAGTACGGAATAGCGTTGCCCACGTATAAACGTCGCGCGACGCACGCAGGCTTGTCCAATGGGACTCCACCCCTTCCTGCGCTGATTCGTAATGTCATCGACACTTGATTCGTCGAGCCAAACGAAATACTCCATGGGGATGTCCCCGTGCGCTGCGATCCAAGCAGCACGAAGCAGCTCGTCGCGCTCTGCGGCTTCTTTCGCGACGCTCTTGTGGCTGAGCGCGAGGCGACGCAGGGTCCGCGAGATTGATGCAAGCGAGACGTCCACGTCGCGATCGGCCGCGAGTTTTGCTTGAATTTCGTCAAGGTAGATTGTCGGGTTATCAGCCAGGAGGGAGTATATGTAGTCGATGTCCGTCCTGCTCAGGACACGAGGACGTCCTCTGGGAATGAGGGACTCGGGAGTAGCGATGCTGCCAGTAGTTCGATGAAGGGCTAGCACTTTGTAGATCGCACGCTCTTTGCATCCAGCGAGACGAGCGATGTCCTGGATGGACGTCCCCTCTTCGCGCCAGGCTACAATCCGCTCCCGGAGTTGGTCTGAGATACGAGGGCCTCGGGCCATGGCGCGAAGAGCAGTGGGAGGCGCGTCGACGGTAGCAACGCGCGCGCGACGCGTCTGGCGCGACCTGTCACGGCGCGCTATCAGGCGCCGGATACCTACTATATCAGGCTTTATTTGGCCGGGCCAAACAAATCGGCGCGAAAAGCCCGACCTGCACATCTTTATGCAAACGACTGTAAACGTTAGCTTAGATTCGCCCATTCCTTGGTCTGGTCCGACGCCAGCTTCGATCGCAAACTCTCACTCCTGTGATTCCGCGCAAAAAAGAGAAGAGCTATCAGCGAGGCAGCTGGACGCGCTGGTGTACACGCACTGGATAAAGCCAAAATTCGACTCGCAGAAGCGTAAGCGCTTTTTAGCGCCCACGAATTCCCCATCATCCTCCGCATCTTCTCGCAGTATGGTACCATTTACATCCTCTGTCGCTGTGCAGCATGCGAGACGCTCTGCATGTCGTGCACTGCGGCCACCAATCATGGCTGAGCGCTGAGCGAAGGCGCGGGGCGGTGGGGAGTCAGCGAAGAGATGAGCTTCGTATGACGCGAACGTCCTATCCTCTCCGTGTCCGAGCTCCGAGTCGTCCCGGCCGTTCCTCCTTATAACCTGAATTCCTGAGGTACGTCGGGCTCATCCTGCCTAGTCTCCACCAATCTCGTGCTCCTCATTACGGCTCATTGGTCCCAACATGCTCTCTATCCAGCAGCGTGCCTCTGCGACAGTAGTCTCGAGGGCGGCCGCTGTGCCAAAGCGAACCTTCTTCGCCTCACCGGCACGAGGTAAGCAGAGGCTCGTCATCCTAGGCTCTGGATGGGGCGGATATGAGATCCTGAGAGCAATCGACAAGAAACGATGGAGTAAGCAGGCGTTTCATGCACCTCATAATTGCGTATAGTAGTAACTGACCTCGTGCATTAACATTTAGATGTCGTTATGGTTTCTCCCAGTAATTACTTCAACTTTACGCCGCTACTTGCTAGCTGTGCTGTTGGCACGCTCGAGTTCCGGGCAGCCGTCGAGCCAGTGAGTACCCAAAATTTGTCGTATCATCTCCAGAGAATGCAGTACCTGGTTGCGCGATTCCGTTCTTATTGAGATAGACGCCCATCTTACTCGAACATTGGGGGTGGTCAGAGTGAGAGAAGATACTAGTGCGATCTCGAGTTCATAGTGTTCGCAAAATTCCCTTCCGACTTGCCGTAAATGGTATAAACTCGTGCACTCTGACTACATGCCCCTGTTGATGAGCGCATACTTCGTGTGGACACGAGCTTATTCACTTCTCCTGAAAAGGCTTGAGGCTGCTGGCCAGGCATGGATTCGAGCTGTACTTGCGCTATGCATAATTGTAGACACATTTCGCTGACACGGTTTCCTTTAGGTGCGAAAATACACGCCAGAAGTGGTAAGATGAATGTCGTTTCCAAGAAAAGACATCAAAGCTAAGTGGTCCGGATAGATTGCGTATACGGCGTGGTGTGACTCCATAGGTGAAACTTCGTGCCGCTCTCATCGCCGCATGCAACCAGCTCACAGCGACATCTAGATTTCAAGCACAAGAAACTCGTATGCGTGAGTACTCGCCAATCGTCTAAACCTCAGTGATGATCGAAACCGTTCAACTTAGATGCCCGCCACATCTCCCGTCAACTTTTCGGAACCTGGCGGGTCCGCAAGTAATACCGACCCAAACGAAAGCGCGAGCGCGGTCGCAGGTAGTTCTCAGAAATTCCAGCTGACATACGACAAACTGGTGATCGCCGTCGGCGCATATAGTCAGAGTATGACAACCCCTTGGTTTTACTCGTCAACGAACAAACCTTGATGCGTCGCACAGCGTTCAATGTTCCAGGCGTGAAGGAGCACGCGTACTTCCTGAAGGACATCAGCGACGCCCGACGCATTCGCACGAGGGTGCTAGATTGTTGGTAAATTTCGCGCGAACCGAAAGTCTAAAAGCTGACGAAGGATATGCAGGCTTCGAGCAGGCAAACCAACCAACGATCACAGACGCAGATCGCCGGAAGCTTCTCAACTTCTGCATCGTCGGCGGCGGACCCACCGGTGTCGAGTTCGCCGCTGAACTACACGACTTCCTGCACACCGATATCGCGCGGCACTACCCCGCGCTCGCGCGCATGGCCAAGATCAACCTGTACGACGTCGCGCCGAGTATCCTCGGCGGATTCGACACCGGACTGCAGGAGTACGTGCTGATCAGACGTATGCGACTCTCAGCGTTGGAGGCTAATGTGTTATGTCGCAGATATGCAACCAGCAAGTTCAAGCGTGAGGGAATCAGGCTTCTTACGCAGCACCACGTCCAGCGCGTGGAGCAGGTAAGCTGCTCCTACACATTAGCTTTAGGCCCCCCTCGGGTCCGAATGGCTGCGTTTCGACAATCTGCCCGTGCATCTTAGATCTGTCAGACCCTTCAATGGAGCCGCAGATTGAGCAAGCTCATACCGATCATTTTACTGATTACGGGTTGAATATAGGGTCGCATGCTCGTGACGGAGGAGGGTGAAGGTCAGTATGAATTCATTTGGGACATCGCGGTTCCCAATCCACTGGGCGCCACTGACTCCCGCGACGCCTGTACAGTGAACTTCGGCCTACTCGTCTGGAGTACGGGCCTCGCACCGAACCCCCTCATCGACTCCATCACAGAAGCGAAGAAGGACGAGCGCACGAAGCGGTGAGTCCCCCACACGTCGCTTAAGTTCTCGGAGCGGGCAAGCTCCAGCTGCGCCCCCGCACCCCATGACCCCACATCTAAGCACCCACGTCTCAGGACCCTCATCACGGACGGACACCTGAACGTGGTGCTGAAAGACACGGACGCGGTGGACCCCGACGTGTTCGCGATCGGAGACGCCGCGACTGTGGTGGACGAGCCGCTGCCCGCGACCGCACAAGTGGCGAATCAGCAGGCGAAGTATCTCACGCGGCGCTTGAACGCTCTCGTGCGCGACCGCACGCCCAGCAAGGCCCCGTTCAAGTTCCAGAACGCGGGCAGCCTCGCGTACGTCGGCGACTGGGAGGCCGTGTTCGACCGCACGAAGGCGGCGCGCGGGCCCAAGAATAAGGAGACGGGCCGCCTGGCGTGGCTGCTGTGGCGCTCGGCGTACTTCACGAAGACGCTGAGCTGGCGGAACAAGATCCTGGTGCCGATGTACTGGTGCGTGTCCGTTCCGCTCGGAGGTAGTGCGGTGCGGGAACTCACTGGTTCCGTTGCCGTAGGTTCCTGAACTGGATCTTTGGTCGCGACTTGAGTCGCTTCTGAGCACATCTCAGGGGAGCGGTTGCGCTCTTGTTAGGATATCTAGGGCTTCGTGGCGCTGCCGCCAAACCACCTTCTCAGAGCATAGCATCAACTACATAGATTACAATACGATCATTCTATTCCACCCTGCAGGCTAATGCAGTGCGGAGAGAGTGGTTGCGGCACGTCACAACCCCGACGATCAACTGTTTCAGGACCGCACAAAACAAGAACGGAAGCTTATACCCTGCGATAGATGACTGACTGAGTCGCGGCGCCGCAGCAGGAAGCCGGTCCTTTGTCCGGCCCCAGCCTTTCCCCGCTCGCCTCACCGACCACACGAAGTCCGCTAATACGAGTGTCTTCCTTGAGGGTCCCGATCGAAATTGAAACGCGCCATGCCGCGCAGACGATGCATGGGGACCCCCAATCGCTAGGGGTCCTGACGTCAAAGAGACTGTGAGAGTGCGTTGTACCAAGATAGCATTGCTGTTACGACGGCCTGTGCCTAGATTCTGTACTATACATGGGAGAAGAACGCCTAAAACCCGTGTCCGACAAAGAACAGTGAGAATATGCTAGAGAGCGTGTGAGTCCGAGCGCATACAAGCCATTCGGCAGACCGATACAGAGTAGGTATGATACAGAGCGGTGTGAGATGGAGGTCGAGACATAGATAAAGAAATAGCGACGTAGAGCTGAGGAGCGGCGATAGGAGAATAGCACGGCGGACACGGAACACCGAGGAAACATAAGATTACACGAACCAAGAAAAAAGGAAGCGGATGGGTGCGAGGTGACTGCGCGACCCAACAATCACACTCGGGGGACCGGCACCCTCTTCCGCTGGATGAAGCGCCCCTTCCGCGCGCCCGCTGCAGAAGGCGCATCCGTAAAGGCATGAGCGCCCGCCGCACGACCGTTGCAGAGCAGCGCGGACATACCAGTGGGCGTACGTGAGAGCGTTGCGGCTGCGGCGACGGTGGTAGCCTCCAGCTCGTGCACGAGGTTCGCCTTCGCGCCTGCGAGGAAGCCCTCGACGAAGTCAAGGTCCTGGGCGGCCATCTTCTCGCTCACGCCGTACCCCTGCAACTCCTCAAGGATCATCGTCCAGCCTGGCTCGACGTTCGGGGTGGCCTCGATCCGCCCGTCATCGTCCACGCCGACATGCGCGACATGGACGAAGGTGCCTGGGGCGGGCGCAGAGATCATCGAGGGGGAGACACGGCGGGTCGCGGACACGGGTGTGGTTGGCACAGGGGATGGGGCCCGGGAGACAGACTTGTTGGGCCTGGACCTAGGCGGGCGCGGGGCTGGGGGTGAACGGAAATGCAGTTAGATTATCTGCTTCGTTCGCGCGGATGCCCGAACACACCTGTGATCTGGACGCGGGCTGTGATACGCCTGAGGAACTTCTCCGCGTCCGAGTCTTCGTCGAAGCGGAATCCGAACATTCTGGACTGAGCCGGACGTCAGCGCAGGACAATGAAACGAAATTGGGTATGACGCACGCAGCCCGAGAAGATGTGGAAGAACGGCTTGTCTGCTTGGTAGTCGAGGTTCAGGGGAATCTGGTGGAACCAGACGATGCCTTTCCCCGAGTCCGCGTCGATGAGGCGGAACCAGTAATTCTGCTCAGCATCGGCCCCTTGCATGGGGTAGGCGCTAGCACGATTCCGGCCAAACACCAACGTGCCGCGTAGGCCCGTGAACGTCCATGAGTCCGGGCGTGCGCCAAACGCGGAGTGATAGATCCGTGCGGGCGCTGCGGCGAGCACCTTAGAATTGGGCGGGAGGTAAGACAGGATATGGTGTTTGACGTCTTCGGACTGCGAGGAAAGCGAAGAGACGGTGGCGGCGGGAGAGCGAGAGGTCGATGAGTGCGCCATGGTTTGAGGTGCGGGAAGGAGTGGTTTACAACGGCTGTACGATACGAATAGGTGAGAGGGAGCTGCTACGATGGACAGAATGGCGGATGCACTGTGGTATTTGTACGGAGAGATGGAGGAGCCACCGGAGCGCCTGAAACAGAAAGGAAGAGATGCATCGTGTAATCCTCGTGTCCGTCGTCCTAGGATTCGACCGCCACGCACCCTCGTGCGCACACAATGGAGGCGCTGCGGCGGTATGGCTGGGTGCCGCTGCCCAAACGGTCCGCACAATGTGAATGGGTGATTCCCGACCAGTTGCTACAAAGGAAGCGGTGTGATCATAGACAGAGGTGTAACCTGCAATATCACACCCCCGCCTATGTGCGCGGCTTCAGAATGATATGGCAGGGCGATAAAAATAAGTGGGTGGAGTTGAAGTGGTTCACCTATCGACCAGATGACCAACGGGGTTGTGCCAGAGGGCGCCACAACATCAAACCACACCAACGAAAGCGGTGAATGGCCACCTCGAGGCTTGGTTTTACATGCCGTAGTAACCCACGATTATCAAGAGCTTCGCTGAGACGCCTGTCGAAGATCGCACGTATGGAGGCAGCTTCAGATAACAGTGGTCTAGGTCCTGTCGCAGTCGAAGGGTTGCCGCAGCTGGTAACTTCCGGCGCAGAGCTGTCGTCTCTGGAGGGGCCGCACCGGCTCCCGGATCGGGGTGCAGTCAAGGGCGATGAGCTTCAGCATGCCCTCTATTCTGTTACAGCAATTGCCGTGCGTAGGGAGCGTGGCTGGCGCAGCACGGGCCGATAGACCTAGGCTCTGCCCGCATGTATCTGCCCTGAGTTCTGTTAAACGGCGCTGTAGGATCGTGTCAGCAGTAAACACGGATATCTGGATAGAATCGAGCACCGCACCACAATTCATGATGTATACCAGTGTGTCTTCGCCACTGCCAGGATCAGTTCCGTGTCCGCCACTCGAAGCGCCAGCGGTCTCGGCCCGACACATATGTATCACACAGTCCATGTTTTGTGCCCCAGATTAATGATGCGTTTGAACATTATATGGTGGAAGTCTTGAGGGGGAGATGATGGCGGTGGAGGTCAAAAGGACTGGCAGCAACTTTGATGTCAGAACGAGTTATCAAGATTGCTAGTATGCTAGTATTACGTAATTGACTAAATGTAAGCTGTAAGATCAACGAGACTAAGATACCTTTTTACACTTGTCGTAAACGGTCGCCCTCTCCTTCTCCTAGTACTTACGGTCTCGTAGTAGACGAAGGTAAATCGAGGGCGAGGGGACAAATGCATCTCACTCACCTGATGATAACAGTAAATCCCACAAACGATCCTCCTGGCGGCCTGCCAGCGGCAATTGCAAACGATCAAGCGCTCTTTTTTTCGCTGCGCTCCTACCTTGAAAACGATGGGCAAGAAGGTCTGTGAGGAGTTGGATACAGTTCTTCATGCAACGCTGACAAAAAAAAGAAAGGAAAGGGCTCCAAGGGCCAAAAACGCGGCGGTCGAGACGATCCTGCGTGGAATCGCACGGATGTGATCGAACGCGAGCACATGAAAAATGAACGCCTCGAGAAATATTACCGGGCACAGAACATCCTACCTGAAAGCGAATGGGAGCCATTCCTCGAAACTCTGAAAAATCCGCTGCCTACGACGTTCAGGGTAGCCGGGAGTCGTCAGTGGGTACTGCGTGCTGCGATTGATTCCTCACACTGACGCTCCTCTTCCCAGGGCGGCGCGCCTGCTCAACGAGACAATAAGGGACGTTCACGTCCCACACCTCGGCGGCGTGGTGTTCGAAGGGGAGGCGGTGTCCCCGCCACAGCAGATACCTTGGTTCGTACAGCAAAATTTGATCTTCGCCTCGTCCTCATGATAGTTCACAGGTATCCGGAGGGTCTCGCCTGGCAACTCAATGTCGCAAAAAGAGTAGTCCGGAAGTCGCCAGAGTTCAAGAAATTCCACTCTTTCCTCGTGTTTGAGACCGAAGTGGTAGGTTTTCCGGGTTTGTTGAGCTTCTTAGACTTACGTTTTGTACAGGGAAACGTCTCAAGACAGGAAGCAGTTAGCATGCTTCCGCCTCTCTTCCTTGAGGTGGAACCACATCACAGAGTGAGTATGCGAGCCTGTATATCATGAGAGTATTTCCTCATTGCATGCATCCAGGTAATCGATATGTGTGCCGCGCCGGGCTCGAAGGTAGGTTCCATCAAGTTCATTTGTCCGTGCTAGGTACTCATTCCGGCAGACCGCGCAACTGCTGGAGGCCCTGCATGCCCAAGACACGATCACCTCCTCTTCCATCCCGTCCGGCCTCCTCATTGCGAACGATAGCGAGTACAAGCGCACGCATCTCCTCATCCACCAATCCGCCCGACTACCTTCTCCCGCGCTCATGGTCACGAACCTTGACGCGTCGATCTTCCCTGCCATCAAGATTCCCTCGGAGCAGACGACCTTCCCGGAGCACACCAAGGCGCGCGTCGCGGCGAAGACACAGTATCAGCTCATGTTCGACCGCATTCTCTGCGACGTGCCGTGCAGCGGTGACGGCACGATGCGCAAGAACCCGGGCATCTGGAAGCACTGGTCCCCGATGGACGGCAATGGCCTGCACAGGTGCGCTTGCTTCTTTGCTTCTTGCCGGTGCCGCGGGAGATGAACTGATGGACGGCCCGGTCCTGCTTAGCCTACAGCTTCGTATCCTGCAGCGAGCGATGCGCATGCTGAAGAAGGGCGGCCGCATCGTCTACTCGACGTGCTCGCTGAACCCAGTCGAGAACGAGGCAGTGGTCGCGGCTGCGTTGAAATCGATCCCTGGTGCGATCATTACCTCACAGAAGAAGCAGCGCATTGTCGCTCATTGTTCTGCGTAGGGTTCGAGCTCATCGATATGTCGAATCACCTCCCCGGGCTCGTCTACCGTCCCGGGATGACCTCATGGCGGCCGAGCGTGAGCAGGGAGGTCAACACCGACTTTGCGACGTACGCGGATTACATACAATCGCTCGACGAGGAGCAGCGCAGCAGCACGAAGATGGTCGAGACGCAGTGGCCGCCCTCGGCGGAGGAGGCGGAGGGCCTGCGTCTTACACGCTGGTATGTACGTCTCCGGTGCGAGATGCCATAATGCTGATTCTTCCGCATAGCTTCCGGATCTATCCCCACCTGCAGGATACTGGCGGTTTCTTCATCGCGATCTTGCAGAGGAAACCGCCGGCAAAGGCTCCCGCGACAGCTAGTGCATCCAGGTATGTCAACTTGCCCCTGACGCTTCACCCAACTCATCCCGATCGTCAGCGAAAGCAAGCGGAGTGCAGACGCTGTGGAAGGCCTGGACAAGTCTGATGTCAAGAAGCCGAAGCTCGACAGCGACACGCAGGATGGGCAGGTAGACGAAGCCGAAGACGTGGAAGAGGTAGCAGTCCCTGAGGAGACCACGGACGAACCCACGGCAGCCATGGATGTGGACAAGCCGTCTGGCTCTAACTCAGAGCCTAAGATACGCTTCAAAAAGGGCAAAACGGCCGAGGGCGCCAGTGCGCACTTCAAGGAGAACCCGTATACGTTCATTGACCCGACCGACCCCATCATCACGGCATGCTCGTAAGCCTGCCCGCGCCCCTCCCTATCCTTTTCCTGACACTCACTGCCATGCGCCTCCAGCGAGACCTTCGACCTGAGCCCGGACTTCCCCGCATCGAACACGCTCGTGCGGAACCCGATCGGCGACACCGTGCGCTCGCTGTACATGGTGAACGACATCGTGAAGAGCATCATCAAGCACAACGACTACGCGCGCATCCGGCTCATGACCGCCGGCACGAAGGTGTTCGGCAAGCAGGAGGGGACCGAGGCGAAACGCGAGGGCACGGAGACGCACTTCCGTGTGCTCGCCGAGGGCCTGCCCGTCGTGCTGCCCTACATCGGGCCCAAGGCCGTCGTGCAAGCGGACTTCGCGGCGCTCAAGACACTGATGGAGGCGTACTACCCACTCACGTCGGGCTTCGCGGATCCGTTCCGGTCAATGATCGAAGCACGAAGTGCGTATTTCACGAGCCCAGTGTATGTTGGGCGTTGCTGACCGGCGCGCATCAGCAAACGGCAGCTATGTTGTCCGCTTCCAGCCTGGCCAGCTCGGAGATGCGACGTAAGTTGTTCTCTAAGCGCTCGCCCACATTTACTAAATTTTTGCATGACCCTGACCTTGTCCATGTATCGCTATAGGCTCACACATGAGCTGGTCCTGCCAATCTGGAAGTCGAACGTTTCGCTCACCCTCATGCTCGATAAGCGCGCGAAGAGGTACGCTCCGTAGTGTCTGCTCATAGTCAAAGCTGGGAGCTGACTACGTTTTCAGCGCCTTGAGCTTGCGGATCTTTGGAGACGACATTACTACTGTCGCTCGTGACGCGTCTGCAGCGAAGAAGCAGAGAGACCAGGCCGCCATTGCAGCCTCAGAGGAGACGCCCATCATCGAGGATGAGAAGGCTAAGAACGTTGACCAAGTCGACGTCGACGCAGAAGATATTGATGAAGTGTGAGCATATGTATGTGTATGTACGTAGAAGTAGATGTATGCAGCACTATTGCTTTATGAATCGGGCACGTAGCGAACCGACCCAATGTTCGCTTGTTTGGGAGATAGTATGATTTCGCGCTCACTCTGCCGTAGTTCTCAGACACGCCCTCAGGCGAGTCCGGCGTGGCGGCGTCCAAGCATCTCTCCGCGCTCGGTGTTAGCACTCTTTCCCCAATTGAAGAAGCGGGCGCAGCCCAACCATATGCACAAGAATCCTGACATGTGAGAAAAAGAGTTGATTGCACATCTACACTACAGATAGCGCCGGGTACGCGCATGACGGGTACCCTTCCAGGGATCATGACTTCATTCCTGCCGCTGAGGTCGGGAAGAGTACTCCGGTACTCATGACTTGCCGTCTTAGCATAAGCACACTCAGCATATTTGCAGCATAAAACGCATGAGAGAGCAACTGTATACTTCCCACGAAAGAGCCACTAGCGCGATGAGTGCTTGGGACTTTCCGGATCTATGTATGTGCGCATGAGGCAGACGAATCCTGACGATGGCTCCGTTCGTTACGTCCACACATATTGTTAGGATCAAGTGTTTATTGTGAAAGTGCATACACTCACTTTTTGTCTATCGTATGTTGGCGTGTGCTGAGCGCGCGGTGAAGTGCCAATAGAGCGCCTATGAATATACCCAGCCGACGGGCGACGCGTCCACGGTTGCACTAACGATGGCGTTAGAGATCGTCACGCGAGTACACCGGCGGTTATGTATAGCAAAGGTGCCGAGAGTGGGTGGATGGCCTGGGTCGTCGGCACTACGTAATGGGCGACGGCGGGAGGACAGGGACGACGGAGCCCGGAGGAGACGGAAGGTCGCGATATTGCAATGCGCTGCGCGGGTCCAGGGCGGTTTGTACGGGAGGTCGCCGAGTCCCGCACGGCCGGCCGAAGCCTACGAGGCGCCGAACGTCAATTATGACTCTGGGCGACAGCCTCGGGCCACCACGAGCAGGGCTACAGCAAACATGAACGCATGATGGAAAGCTCGAAAGTTGGGGGTGTGCGGGAGATGGAGATGGGCGCGTACCGGGACATCAGGACGGCGTCAGACGGCGGACCGCCTGCCCGACACTTTCTTGAGCGTGCAATGCGTGCGCGTCCCAGAGAGCTGTTCCTTAGCTCAGGTCGTGCACGCGCCACATATAGCACAGTTTGCGTGCATATATGCAGCGGTGATGCTGCGGGGACGACTGCCTGCGTACGCGCGAGCTGTTGCCTGTAGACGCCGGCTATGGGTGCGTCCGCTGCGGATTTGGGGTGGGCCACAGCGAAGGCGAGTGAGATGAAGGGCGTGTGAGGGCAAGAAGAGAACGGGGAGCGCAAGGTCGGGAAGGAGAAGGAGTCGGAAGGGGGAGGACGAGGGGACGAGAGATCTACGATCTAGATCGGGGAGACGGACGAGAGTCGTTTCGACGCACAGTCAGGCGGCGTGCGCTCCTCCTCTTCCTCCTTGTCCTTCGACCACCATGTGCCTCCGTCCAGACCGTCGTCCGTATCCGCGCCGCCGATGTGCAACACAGCGAGCAACCCGCACTCGACCCGCGCGCCGCGACGACTCGCGAGCGCCGAGCGGGGCCGCCGGGGCGTGACCTGTGTGTGTGACTGTTTGCCCTTGGTGAGAGGACAGCGTGCGGGTTGGGACTCTGACTGAACCGCGAACCGCGATAACACGACGGCGGCGCGGACGCATACAGCCAGGCTCGCCGCTCGAGCATTCCCCTCCAGACGCTTTCTCCACTCCCCGCCCCCCGCTTTCCGCCCCTCACAGCCCGCTTTTCTCGCTCGGCATCGTGTTTCCCGGCATTCGTCAGCACGACGCCCCTTGTCGACCGCCGCCCTCCGCCCCATCGCCCCGCCATCCACGCCTCGTTTCTCCCGGTCCTCCCGCGTAAGCACTCTTTCCGTCCGTTCCCTACCCCCTCCCGTCCAACACGTGCCTATTTGCCCGCTTCCCATCGCCCTCGCTCGACATGCTGTGCGCGCGCACTACCAGCCCACTGACACGTTCCCCGTTCCACAGACGCCCCTCCTTTTCAACACTGTTCGTAGGATAACGTGATCGTAGTAGGGTTCGCGCAGGTGTGTAGTCAACCAGTCCCTCATGTTTCGCCTTTGCCATCCATGCGACGCGCCGCCTCGCCTCGCCAAATGCGCTTTTGCCCTTTACTGCCCTCCTTTGCGGGCGTTTCCACTACACTTTCGAGGCAGATGTCGCGTCCGGAGGTGACGTTCGCGAGCCCTCGAGCGCGTTGCGTTTATTGTCCGGTGTAGTGCGTATACGTATTCCAGGTAGCCCGGCTTTGCGATAATGTCCATTCACCGTTGTAGCCATTGAAGAGTGTAGTGTGGCATCTTGCTATTTACAAGTTCTCTCCTTATATGTTGCATGCCATGGCTAACCAGAATTTGTTCAGGTTATCCTCGACACGACGCGCGCAAACATTCATTGGCGCATGCTTAGATCTCGCACATAATATCCAGATCATAGGCACACGAGACAAGCCATGAACACGCCTCAAGGGGACATGCCGCAAGGCATCAACCCCGCTTTCCTCGCTGGAGGTTTCGGCGGGAACTCGACACCTCAACCTGGCCTCTCCCCGCAGCAAATACAACAAATGCACGCCATGCGTTCGATGGGCGGTGGCGGACAGGGCGGCGGAGGCATGGGCATGAACCCGGCCATGTTCCAGCAGGGCGGTGGAGGTAGCGGGATGAATCCTGCCGCGCTGATGAACGGCATGGGCGGAATGGGTGGCATGAACGGTATGAACAACGGCCGGATGGCGCAGTACCAGCAAATGCAGGCCCAGGCCCAGGCTCAGCGGATGGGCATGAACATGAACATGGGCGGAGGCGGGATGAACATGAACAATGGCGGGATGGGCATGGGTGGAGGTGGAGGCAGCGGGATGGGTATGGGTATGAGTCCCGCCCAGCTCATGCAGCAGCAACAGATGATGGGCGGTGGCGGAGGTATGAACGGTATGGGCGGGATCAACCCTTCGACGCTAGGAAGCAGCGGGATGAACATGATGGGCGGGATGGGTAACATGAGCAACATGGGTATGGGCGGAATGAACGGTATGAACGGTATGAATATAGGCATGGGTGCGCCGCCTCTTTTCTCTGTTGAATGCACGATCTGATAACTCCCGCTACAGGCGCGTCGTCGTTGACCTCTCCTACGGGTGGTTCTGCCGCGCTCCCGAACGTCTCCGGCATGTCGCATGGCTCGCCTCCTGCCACGCCGTCCACCCCGAACCTCGGGATGCAATCGAACCAAGGCGGGTTTCCGACAGCGGCACAGATGCAGCAGCTCTCGCAGATGAACCCAATGAACCCGCAAGTGAAAGCGATGCAGATGCAACGTGCGGCGATGATGGCACAGATGGGTGGCGGCGGTGGGGGAATGCAGGGGATGAACATTGGCGGGATGTCTATGGCGCAGGTCTCGCAGATGCAAATGCTCCAGCAACAGCAACTTGAGCAGCAGCGACAGCAGCAGAACCAAGCTCAGATGCAGCAACGCCCACCATCATCCGCTTCGTTCAGCGCGCACGCCCATCGCCTTTCGCAGGGCCAGCTGCAGACCTCTCCGACATCGACACCGGGCCCCGGGAGTCAGAACCAAGGTGCACACTCACCTCAGGCGTTGCAACCTCAGCTCACCGGAGGCTCCGGGATGATGCCCCCTCCGTCTTCCATACCTCCTCGTCCAAGCACTGCGTCGTCGCTTCACGGACATGGCATGCACCCACACATGCAGCAACAGCAGCAACAGCAACAGCACGGTTCACAACAGCACGGGGGGCAGTACCCAAATCCAAGTCCACGACCAGGCACCGCGACAGGCTCTCGCCCGGGCACCGCACAGAGCCAGGGCCCGCGGTCTTCGACCCCTAGCGGAGGCCGACCACAGACCCCCAGCCAAGCAAGTCCGCGCGCTCCCGTCGCGCCACTCCCCATGCCGCACGGTAGTGTCCCACAGAGTCCAGCGGTTACACCCCAGCGTCCCGGCACAGGTCAGTCGATGCACGGAGGCGATGGGCAAGGTCAAGGTCATCCGCAGAAGGTACCTAGTCGTCCACCCACTGCGACCGGTCACGGCCCGCCTCAGACCCCGCGCCAACAGCCACAGCAGCTCCAGCAGCCTCACGCCCAGCAACAGCAGCAGCCGAAGACGTCTCCCTCTGCGCAACAGTCCGGCTTCACACCTATCGCGCCCGCGCCTGTATCCGCCGGTGGGGCTCAAACACCTGGTTCGCCTCACATCGGTACGAAACGCAAGGCCTCCGCAACTCCGGCGCCTGGTGCCCCTCCTGCCAAGGCGAGCACCCCCGCACCCTCTGGACCGCCGGCGAGCATCCCGACGCCGGCCCAAATGTCACGCACGACGAGCGGTACCGGCATCTCAGGCATGGGTATCAGTGGGAACGTTGGTCCTGCGCCCGGTCCTTCACAGTCTCAGCCGTCAACCGCCTCCGGTTCACTCATGGGCGGCGCAGGTGGTGGGCTGATGCCGCCGCCTGTTGTGCCTCGCGGACCACCGGGTCCTGGGCAGGTCGCGGCCAGCGGGTCGAATTCTGCGCTCAACATCATTTCGGGCATGGGCATGGCGCCTGCGCCGCTCGGGGCTGTCACAGGCGGCGGTCCGCTTGGCTTAACATCCCCGACGAGCATGAACGCGGCGGCGAACATGGGCAACCTTGCACTGTTGGAGGGTAATCCGCCGATTCCGGTCCCGCAGACCCCTTCGCGTCAGCCGTCACTCCCCCCTACATCCCTCACGTCACCGGGTGTCGCTGGCCCAAGTGGTGTAGTCCCCGCCAAAGCAGTGCCTGGCATCGCGAACGGGAAGGCTACCGCTTCACCGGCACCGCAGCCGACACCGGTCACCAAGATTATCCCGCAACTTCCGCCCCTGCCGGCAACGGTCAAGCTGGATCCGAAGGTGACTCGAGTGTCGGTCGTACCGCTCGTGGACTCGGAGACCATGATTCCGCCCCTGGCGGAAGACGAGATTCAACATGTACAAGAATGGATGAAGGCCGACAAGGAATACGAGGCTCGGTATAAGAAGATGCGCGAGCGGATGACGGAAGAGCTGAAGACGACTGTGAGCGCGCCGCGTGCGTGGTGGGAGCGGGACTTCAATGCCAGTCCGGAAGAGCGCAGGCGGCGCGCGGACAAGTTCGTGCTGACGGGACTGAAGTCGTCGAAGGAGCGCGAGATCAGGGACAAGAGGCGGGTGGGAAGGCGGGAAGGACTGAGAGTGTGAGTGCTTCGCGAGTACTCTTTTTGAGGCTGCCGTCTGATGGCCGCCCTCGCTTTAGCCCGAGACGGGTCCCCGACGAAGAGGCCAACCGGCCCGAGCAACTTGTGCCGATACGGTTGGAGTTTGACGTCGAGCATCATAAGATGCGAGATACCTTCGTGTGGAACCTGAATGGTACGTCACATCCGACACCCGTCTGTAGCGCTCTATCTAATGCCACCTCAGACCCCCTCATCACACCAGAGGTCTTTGCTCAGTCCGTGGTGGAGGACTATGCCCTAGCCCCAAGTTATCACGCCGTCATCACCAAGTCGATTCAGGAGCAGCTAAGCGACTACAAGGCGCACTCTACCACGTTTGGTGAAGACGGTGGTATGATCGAAGAGGAGGAAGAGATCTTGCGAGGCAATATCGCCGAGGACGAGGAGGTGTGGTGGGAGGGATGGCGGAAGCGCGTGCGGTCAAAGGCGCTGTATAAGATGGCTGCGCCTCCCGACACCCGCAGCCGCAAACGTAGGAAGATCGTGAAAGATGAAGCCTCTGAGCGCCCAGACGCTCTCAGCGGGCCATCCGGTGATGCGCCGATGGCGGTGGACGACTTTGAAGAGGACGAGAGTCTCATGCACGAGGAGATGCGCATCTTGGTGAAGGTATGTGCATACATGTCCTCGGTGATGTGCGTTGGCTTACCCTGATGAACAGGTGGACATCATCGTCGGCTCCGTCAAGCTCGAAGATCAGTTCGAGTGGGATCTGGAGAACTCCGATCCTACCCCTGAGCAGTTTGCGGAGATCTACTGCAAGGATCTCGGGCTCGGTGGGGAGTTCAAGTAAGTCGGCTCAAGAAATCCTCACGCAAAGCGGCACACTGATCATCGCGCAGAACCGCGATTGCGCATTCCATCCGAGAGCAGGTGCAGATATACCAGAAGTCGCTCTTCTTGGTCGGCCATCCGTCGGACGGCTCTGCTGTACAAGACGACGACCTCCGGATGTCTCTCCTCCCGTCCCTGGTTTCTGGTGCGCGCTCGATGGAGCAGGTCGAGGCCTTCACGCCGATCCTGCAGTATCTCAGCGAAAGCGAGATCGAGAAGAACGAGAAGGACCGTGAGAAGGAGCTCGCTCGCCGCAAGAGGAAGACGACACGTGGACGCAGAGGCGTCGCGCTGCCTGACCGCGAACCCCCCAAGACGTTCCGCACTCCCGCCATCGGCTTCCCAGAAGTGTCTCCAGCTGCCCTCGCGCTCGCGGCCGCGGCGGCTGCACCAACGTCGAGGCGTGCCGCGGCTGCTGCCGCATCGCTGACCATTGCGAACATGGTCGCGTCCGAGAACGGCACCACTATCCTCCCTCAGATGCCCTCCGCGCCGCTCACACCCATCGCTCCCACTCCCTCCACCAAAGAGAAGAAGCCGAAGGGGCTGTTCAAACCCCCCTCATACCCAGCCTCCGTACTTCGTCCGCGTGCGAACATCAAGGCCCCGACACCTTCCACTGCCGCCGACATCTCCACTCTTCCGCCACCTCTCGAGAACGATCTTCCCGCTCCAAGTAGTAGCGGCATCGACAGACAAGGGTCGAAGGTCGTCCTCACTGCGAAACGCGCGAAGGAACTCGAGAGGGAAGCGAAGGAGAAGGAGTACGCTGATGGGCAGCATGCCAACATGATCGATGGCGTATGGCATTGCTCCAATTGTGGTTGTCCCGAGAGCATTGCCGTCGGCCGCAGGAAGGGTCCGTTGGGCGACAAGTCGCAGTGTGGTACTTGTGGTAAGTTGGACAACCACGCATATCGTCAGGTTTACTCACGGGCATACAGGCAAGTACTGGCATCGCCATCGTCGGCCACGTCCTGTCCAGTACAACTCCAGCGCCGATCACCACCTCGGGATCATTAGGGCGGAGGAGCAGGCGAAGTCGAACTCCAAGAGGAAGCGTCCGCAGTCTACTATCGCGGATGAGCCTAAGTCCCAGCCGATGGACGAGGACGCTGAGATGGAGACTCCGGGCCCCTCTAAGCCTAAGTTCGAGCCGGAGCCTCCGTCTATCCCTCAGGAACGGCCATCTGTCGTTCCTGACGGAATCGACAGAGCGGTGTCGCCTGTCTCTACTGCGTCGAGCGCATCGGAATCGCCGCTGGCCCAGCGAGTCAAGATGAATGGCGGCGCGCATTCCAGATCTGCTCCTCCGGCGCCTCCAGAGTCAGAGGCGCCCGCCCGGTCCGTGTCCAGCGACGCCCAAACCCGAGTGATCTCCCCACCACAAGCCTCTCCCCCACGCGCAGCGCCGTCTGCGCCCCCCGCTCAAAATCCACCGGTAGGTGTGCAAAACCCGGTGCCTTTCAGTGCAGATTTTGACGCGTTCCCACCAGCTCTCCACCCCACAGTGGCTGGCGGACTGCCTGTCGGCGATGCAGGCCAGGTACCCTGACGACATCTTCGAGGCCGTCATTCGCAAGAACGCGACGAGCGGCGTGTACGAGTTCCGCATCAAGTGCACCGACTGCCCGGGCAAGGTACGTGGTCACATTCTCGACGTCGCACACCGAACATCCGTTCACGCCGCGCCGTGTCTGCAGCACTATACCCCCGGACCGGGCGAGTCGCTCCAGAACTTCGAGGTCCACCTGAAAAACCGCCAGCATCGCCAGAAAGTGAACGCACGACTGAACCCCCCTGCCGAGTCGTAGAACCCTGTTTCGCCCGTCTCTTTCGAATGTTATATTGCTATCCGGACTGTGTTGTGCTTGTGACCCGCTATAGCTACTTACTGCCGTATATACTCCCTGTTTGTATTGCTACTCCCAGCGTCCCTGCGGCGACGCGTGAATATGATGGATTTCACTGCCTGAGAACCTACACGCGCTAGTCGTAGCTCACAGGCAAAGTTACATCGATTGCGCAGAGGGACGGAGCAAGGGGCAGAAAAGACGTGCAACGTCGTGGAACTATCCCGACTCTTAAACGGACACTAACGTACATTGAAGATAGCGAGGCGGTAGTACTGGTATCCATGTGAAAGACGCAAGTATACAGCGCTGTCACGAGGAGCGGTGCGATGCACAAGAAGAGCGGTGTCGGATATCATGGAAAGGTAAAAGTAGGCAGACTAGTTGGTCAATAGTAGACCCGAGAGCGAGAAACAGAGTAACGTCGGTATAAAACCTATACATACTTGCGACAGATTGGCGGCCCCGCGCTACTTGAAGCAGGAGGTAAAGGAACTGATAGTACTGTTACTAAGGCCTAGCCGCTGAATCCGATTCTGCGGCCCGAAACGAAAGCGTCAGAGTCTCTGTACGAGCGATCAGAGTGTGCACGGCCGGGCAGAGAACAAAAGCTAGCGTACATCGTGTGTGGCGAGTCGTACTCCACGCGCCGGTCGCGCCACCACGGCGGGTGATACAGGGCCCAATAGCCCGCACGGCGTGAGTGGAGCAGCACGGCGACGTACTCGAAGGCCCTAAGGTCCGCGTTCTGCAGCACATCGACGATCTCCAGCCCCCATTCGTCGCGCTGGTCCGCCCACTCGCCGTTTAGGTCGTCCCAGCCCCACGACGGGCGCAGGGGGCCGCCTGTGATGTCGAGGTTGAGGTAGAGCGCACGCAGGTACTTGACGGCCGTCAGCGTGCGCGCGATGTGCAGCTGGGAACACTGGTGAGCACGCGAAGACGCAGGTGTCGTTAGCTGGCGCAGACGTACGTAGGGGACAGTGTCTTTCGGATGCGCTTTGTATCGGTGCAATTCGAGTTCTTCGAGGAGCGGGAACGCGTGCGGCAGGTACTGCAGAAGCTCGTCTTCAGCAGCGTCGGCCTGATAGACCAGCTCAAGCATCAGCATCCCAGGGGCGGAGATGCGTTTCAGGACGACCAGACATTCTTCCGCGCTGAGGATAGGGTATACCGCAGGAAGAGCTCGATAGACGTAGCGTGACTGGAAGTAGTGCCTTGGACTATCGCGGAGCGAGAGGGAAGTTAGTCCATCACCAACGCAGGAGAAGATGGGATCTTCCGGATCTGGATACGAGACAGTCAATGAGCGTAGACAAAAGCTAGTCTCGGGGAGTTCTTTCAGCAAAGGGGGTCGCCACATCCCTTCGCACTGCATCACTTTGATTGAGAGGGAGCGCATGCTCGGCATGCGCGGGAGTAAGAGAGGGATGATGTGGCATTGATCTGGGTGGGTGTATCGCCCGATGAGGGACAGCGTATGCAAACGCGGCCAGTCCATGCTGGCCATCTCCAAGAGCGGGGCCGTCTCGGCAGGAAGGGTGAGTGACTCGGCGGTGTCGGACATGGGGAGAACAATGGCGCGGAGGTAGTTCTCCTCTAACGCGTAGATCGGACGTAGATCTGTTCCACGCTGCACACTCTCGGTCTCGCGCCATTGCGATGGAGTGTATGACAACTTCGTGAGCCGACAGCCGCATTGGGGGCCATCGGGCGGCGTAGGTGGTGGCGCGCACATCCACGTTGAATTTTGCCCGATGGAGATGGACGTGACCGTGGGGTGATCTAGGCATTTCTTGATAGCGTACCAGGGAACGCCTCCAGCTGCATTGCCAAACGTGACCGAATCGAGGACGGGGAAGAAATCCATCTCCAAGCCGAATTGATATGGATCATCGTATATTGCATATTTTCCGGCTATTGGCATGTTGTCCTGATGCAGGTATCCGCATGCATACAGGTCTTCGATGGAGTAGAAGAGGCTTATGTACAGTATGTGCCTTATAAAGAGGGTGGATGAAGAGGACCACGCCGGACGATAAGACAGAGCGAGCTGACCTGACATGCGGGCGTATGACCTCCGGCGGAATTTGGACTTTGTATGACGACCATACACAGCAGCTCCGGAACAGGATGCGTCTGCACTGGGAGCGCACACGCTTGCATGTGAGGGACATGGCTTTGAGAGCACCAGCGCGACCAGTGGAGTTCCTGCTAAGCTCCGCTACGTGTTCCAAAATGCGGTACATAACGTCCTCGTTAAGGTCGCTGAATCTAGGTATGGAGTGAGCGAAATGCAGTGAGAGGACCGCAAGTTCCTCGGGGTTCTTACCTATTCCCGGGCGACATCGATATTCTGCGAGCTGCTGGGCGGGGTAGTATTCGCTCGGAACTCAGGTGCTTAGAACTCTACCTCGGGGAACGCTTGCAGCTTCGTATAAAAGTATTGATAGATATGTTCGCTCTAGCCGGTCTGAGGGAGAGACAGAGGGTGGGTGGATGAACGGGTGAGTGAGCGAGTCAGTTGTGAGAAAGTCAGAGAGTGAGGTGAGCACAGTAGACGCCCAAGTCGCAAGAGCGGCTTTTGTAAGTTGGACCATCTTGGGATCACCTCAGAAATTTGAGCTGCAGATATCAAATATGCCTTAGTACGTCTGAGAATGAGGACAGGCAATTAGAACTCCATCCCGACCGTGAATCAGCCGTAATAGTCATGTCTCAAGCTCAAGTCCTACCCCACTTCCAAGTTCCCGGAGTCCGCAAAATCACACATGCAGGTTACAGTACGTCCATTTTGTGTATCATACATACATCATAATTTCATATGCTAGAGAGATTGCGCAGGCGTTGCTGGATTGATGACTTCCATAAATCGTTTGTGTCGTTTGCGCGAGTCGCGCGGGGACTTCGGGGAGCGGCGTCGGTCCACTGAGCGCTGAGGGAAGCGCGCTACGACTTCTTATATATGTAGTTACATATCAAAGTTGAGCGATGACTGCGTCGCTCGGCAGCGCGAGGCGGAGTGACGTGAGTGCGAAAACTATCCAAGTGTGGCGGCAGCATCTTGGTGGCCGCGCGCTTTCAGGAAAGGGCGGGGGGAGCCATGGCGAGAGGTACCCTGCGAAATCCGATTCTGCGGCCATAAACGAAAGCATCGGAGTCTCTGCACATGCATTCAGCGTTGGCACGACCTGACGGAGAGCGGCGGGCTTACAGTCTGTACGGCGAGTCGTACTGAATGCGCCTGACATGGCGACACCACGGCGGGCGATACAAGGCCCAAAAGCCTGCACGGCGCGAGTGAAGCAGAAGCGCGACGTACTCGAAGGTCTCGCGAGTACGCAACACCTCCACGATCTCCACCCCCCAATCATCACGCTGTTCCCCGCAGTCGCTGTCAAGGTCTTTGCACACCCACGTCGGGCGTAGCGGACTGCCTGTGATGTCGAGGTTGAGGTAGAGCGCGCGCAGATACTTGATTGCCCTCAACGTGCGTGCGATGTGCAACTGGGATATTGGTGAGTACGCGCGGGGGGACACTTCGATGACTGGGCAAAGACGTACGTATGGAACGTTCTCCTCCGGCAGTGCTTTGTATCGGTGCAACTCGAGTTCTTGGAGAAGGGGGAACGCCTTTGGAAGATACTGCAAGAGCTCGTCCTCAGCGGTGTCGGCCTGATAGACTAGTTCAAGTACCGAGAGTTGAGGGGCGGAGAGGCGCTTCAGGATGACCAAACATTCCGACGCGCTGAGGATCGGGAATATTGCGGGGAGAATGCGATAGCCATAGCGTTTTTGGAAGTAGTATCTCGGGCTATCGCGGAGCGAAAGGGAGGTTAGACCATCTCCGACATATGAGAAAATCGGGTCGTCCGGGGCCGGATACGAGACCGTCAACGACCGCAGGGAGTAGCTAGTATCAGGGAGCCCTCTGAGCAAACGCGGGCGCCACATCCCCTTGCATTGCATTACGTTGATGGAAAGGGAGCGCAGGTTTGGCATGCGCAAGAGTAAGAGAGGGATGATGTCACTTTGATCTGGGTGAGTGTATCGTCCGATGAGAGACAGCGTATGCAAACGCGGCCAGTCCATGTTGGCCATCTCCACGAGCGGAGCAGTCTCGGCAGGGAGGGTGAGGGACTCGGCGGTGTTGGGCATGGCGAGAACAAGGGCGCGGAGGTAGCTCGACTCTAACGCGTATATCGGTCGTAGGTCTGTTCTGTGTTCCACGCTCTCGGTCTCGCGCCATTGGGATGAAGTATATGACAAGTGCGTGAGCCGACAGCCATGTGGCGGGATATCGGACGGGATGGGGGGTGGCGCGCACATCCATGTCGAGTTCTCCCCGATGGAGATGGACGTGACCGTGGGGTGATCCAGGCACTTCTTGATAGCATACCAGGGGACCCCTCCTGCAGCGCTGGCAAACGAGACTGTTTCGAGGGTGGGGAAGAAATCCAACTCCAGGCCAAACTGAGACGGATCATCCATAACCACGTATTTTTGGCCTATTAGCATGTCGTCCTGATGGAAGTACCCACAGGCATAGAGGTTGTCTATGGAGTAGAAAAGGTTTATAACCCGGACATGCCTGGAAAGGGGATGTATAAAAACAGACGCAAGAGGCTTCATGACTGCGTGTGCTAACCTGACATACGGGCGTATAGCCTGCGGCGGAAGGTTGACTTTGTACGAGGACCATACGCAACAGGTATGGAAGAGAAGGGGTAAACAGCATGAGCGCACGCGCTTGCACGTTGTGGATATAGTTTTGAGAGTGCCAGGGTGACCATGTCTGCTGAGCACCGCTACCTGTTCCAAAATGCGGTACAGAACGTCTTCATTAAGTTGAGTGAGCCTATTTATGATGATTAAACTGCGTTGTGAGGATGTATTGATTTGAGGGACAACCTACCCACAAATCGCCGCCATAACACGAGGTCGCGCCGGAGGACTTCTGCTTGTAGGCCCCACTGACTACTATCACTGATGGCGTCTCACTAGTCCTCTACACCGCTTCCGTGTTACTCTCAGCGAGGCGTCCGATGTATGAGAACTTTGGAAGAAAGGGGAAAGGAACGAGAGGAAGAGACGAAAGACTCAGAGCGCTTGATTTGTGAGGCGAACGTGGGCGCCGGTGACCCACGCGCGCCACCAGTTCACCTCCAGAAGCGCCCATCGACAATGATATGGGAGTCTGTTTCCGGAATAGCTGTAAGCAACTAGTAACGCACATTGAGGAAGGCGAGAGGTGGTATACATGTAAACGACACAAGTATATGGTACTCTCATCGAGGACAATTTAAATGTATATTACCAAGAATGGGGCTCGCAGTCACGAATGAAAGTAGGCGGAGAAACGATGATATCGATGGTGCGGGAGTGCGAGGCGGAGTGGCAGCTTGAACGTCTTGGATTTGTAAAACCAGAGCGAATAGAAGCATGGCGAACAGCAGCTAGTAGGTCAGGCCAAACCCCGCGTGTACTCCATTCAAGTTCTACCAATGCGCGTTGCTTGAATTCGACACATCTGTACCTGAATAGTTAGAAGACGCAATTCGCGGCAAATATAGACTCACGAGACACTTCTGCCTCATACTTACCCTTCTTCCAACACATCGGACACGTTCGGGTTCGCGGAAACAGCGCCCATTCGCGAGCATCCACCTCCTCTCCTCCCATCGTATTCCCAAGAATCGCCGATGCAGCACCAACACTTGATCTGAGGTACTCATGTCTTGCCACGGAAACCCGAACGACTCAAGTTTCGGGAACATCACGGAGAGAAACATGGACTATTGCCTGCAATCCACTGCGTACCGAAACTCTACCCTTCTGAATTTGCTTCTGTACCTGAGACGACTGGTAAGTAGAGATCTCTTTTTTACTGCATGGCAGACTTGCAAATCAACTCCGCATCATCACTTTCCTCACTCGAATACGGGAGGCAAGGGGATTCACGCTGATAATACCCTGCGAAATCCGATTGTATGGCCGTAAAGGTAAGCGTCGGCGTCTCTGTGCATGCCATCAGTGTTTGCACAATTAGATGGAGAACCACAGGGCCTACGTCTTGTACGGCGAGAAGAAATCAATGCGCCTGGCATGGCGACACCACGGCGGGCGATACAGGGCCCAATCGCCCGCACTGTGCAAGTGGAGCAGCAGCGCGACGTACTGGAAGGTCTCGCGAGTCTGCAGCACCGCGGCGATCTCCTGGCCCCATTCGTCACGCTGTTCTGCGCACTCGTTGTCGAGGTCGTCGGACTCCCATGTTGGGGACCGCGGGTCGCCTGCCATGATGTCGAGGTTGAGGTAGAGTGCGTGTAGGTATTTGACCGCCGTCAGCGTGCGCGCGATGTGCAACTGAGGTATCAGTGAGTACGCGCCGGGGGAGATAGTGTCATTAGCGGGCGAAGACGTACGTAAGGGACATTTTCCTCCGGTTGTGCTTTGTATCGGTGCAATTCGAGCTCCTCGAGAAGCGGAAACGCACGGGAAAGGTGCTGTAGGAGCTCGTTCTCGGCGGCGTCGCCCTTGTAAACCAGCTCGAGAACCAAGAGTCGAGGGGCGGAGATGCGCTTTATGATGGTCAGACATTCCGACGCCTTGAGAATTGGGAACACTCCAGGGAGATCCCGTTGGCCATAGCGTGAATGAAAGTAGTATCTCGGGCTGTCGCGGAGCGAGAGGGAAGTTAGGCCGTCCCCGATACAGGAGAAGATAGGATCTTCTGTATTTGGGTACGAGATCGTCAACGACCGTAGACAGTAGTTAGTATCAGGGAGTTCTTTGAGCAAAGGGGGGCGCTGCGTCCCTTCGCACTGGATTACTTGGACCGAAAGGGAGCGCAAGTTTGGCATGCGCAGGAGTAGGAGAGGGACGATATCGCCTTGGTTTGGATGAGTATACCGCCCGACGAGTGACAGAGTATGCAGACGCGGCCAGTCCATGCTGGCCATCTCCAAGAGCGGAGCAGTCTCGGCGGGGAGGGTGAGCGACTCGGCAGTGGTGGACATGGACAGGACAAGAGCGCGAAGGTAGCTCGACTCCAAAGCATACATCAATTGTAGGTCTGTTCTGTGTTCCACACTTTCGGTCTCGCGCCATTGCGATGGAGTATACGACAAGTGCGTGAGTCGACTACCGTGTGGCGGGATATCGGCCGGGGTAGGTGGTGGCGCGCACATCCATGTCGAGTTATTCCCGATGGAAATGGAGGTTACTGTAGGGTGCTCCAGGCATTTCTTGATAGCGTACCATGGGACCCCTCCTGCGGCGCTGGCAAACGAGACCATTTCGAGGGCGGGCAAGAAGTCCAACTCCAAACCAAACTGAGACGGATCGTCCGTCACCACATATTTTCGGTCTACGAGCATGTCGTCCTGATGAAAGTATCCACACGCATAGAGGTCTTCGATGCGATAGAAAAGGCTTACAAACCGGGCATGCCTTGGAAGTGAGCGAATCAAAAAGACGCACAAGGATTCATGACCGAGTGTGCTGACCTGACATGCGGGCGTATGGCCTCCGGAGGAATTGTGACTTTGTACGAGGACCATATACGACACGTATGGAAGAGCAGGGATAAACAGTACGAGCGCACGTGCTTGCATGTTATGGACATGGTTTTGAGAGTGCCAGGGTGACCATGTCTCTTAAGCGCTGCTACTTGTTCCAAAATGCGGTACAGAACGTCTTCATTGAGTTGAATGAGCCTATATTGAATAATGAAACTTTGATGCGAGGATGTACTGCTTCGAGAGACAGCCTACCCAAAAACCCCCGCCATAACACAAGATCGCGCTGGATGGCGTCCACAGGTAGAGGCCCTACCTGCTACTATCGCTGGTGCCGTTCCGACGGCCTTCTAATCTGCGTGTCCGGATGATCTCAGCGAGGCGTCCTGTGCAAAGAAACTTCGGAAGGAAGAGGAGACGAACGAGAACGAGACCAAAGAGCGAAGAGCGCTTGATTTGTGAGGCGCGCGCGCCGCGAGCGGCGAACGTGGGCGCCAACAGGGTCGACCTCTGGCAAGCGCCCATCCAGAATATGGTGTTCTCGTCTCTCTCGACGACCACCGGCTGCGTGATGCTCGTACGAACTCCTAGAACGTTCTCCTTTTCTTGAGTCCTAAATATCGCACAATAAGTGTGGGCTGGAAGCACTGGAAGGGCCAGCCTCTCCCATTGGCATCGTGCCTTCCGTCATTCAGGCTCACGAGACAACCTTGTTGAAGCTAGCGTTGTGGCACTCTTACCGCCTGGGATGTTCAAGCGAACAATGATTCAGGCTTTTCGCTACTATATGAAGATGCTGAACTTTACCAGGTACCGCCGCGCTCAGCAAGGAGCGTGACAAAGGCATGGCAATGCCTCAAGTTGTAAGATATCGAAATCCGTAAGCACCACTACACCGCCTCGGTGCACCGCTCGCTCATCTATTGTACAGATGACCTACCCCGATGTAAGCGTAGTCCTGCTGTGTTAAGCTCACCGTGAAGCCGTACAGTTGCAGTCAATCCCTTTCGATACGCCCGCAGCTTTGTGCGAATTGGCACGCTCGCAGTATGTCTTGCCAGTTTTTCTTCGTCGGGAAAAGCCTGTTTTGATTTATAGAAATACTTCGCTTAGGAAGGGAAAGGGCTAACACACGCTCGGGCAACACGCAGCAGCGGAGGCCGTGCTAGTCTGAGCCTTCTTCCTCATGCGTCGAGTACTGTTGTACAGCCACTTGCACGCCCCGGCGCCTTCCGTGGAAATGCGAACAAAAGGCAACTCGGACTTTATAACAGGAGTACATATATCTAACAAGTGCCCTCAGAAGCCTCCTTATCCGCCCCCAGACATAGACCCCAGCGACCATCGCCCTCCCGTCTCCGTTGAGGTGTGGCGTCAGTATTCTTCCGTCTGTGAACATCCCGACATCCAAGTGCGACTCATCACACAGACATTATCTGCATTCAATCATCAAGACGCCCATCAAGACTACAGCACTCGTCATGACACGTCCCGGTGTTGGCAGAGATCGGATTCGCACCGACGGACTCCGCACGCTGAACATCGCGCAGCTCACGTTCCACATGCCCGACGAACCCCAGCAGGTCGTTTCTTCCACGCTCACACCAGTGCGCCTGCAGTATGTATTCCGTGTTCCGTGTTCTTCCCGGATTCTTTTTCTGGGTCCAGAATCGGATCGACCGAAAACAAGAACTCCAACGCTACACCAAGCCGTCACCATGAACACGTTGGAGAAGGTCATCGGGTGCTACAACCGTCAACTTGTCTCCATGTTCTTCGATGCGTCGCGCCTACGGCCACTGGCGGTGCTCTCCTCAACGCGCGAGCACGACTTCTTGCGCCCCATCGGGCTTCCTTCCACTCTGCACACCATGGAACGGCTGCGCGAGCTGGAGGTACAAACCAACTGGAAGGTATCCTTCAAGTCGCTGCTACGGTTCCTAAGATGCACTCCCAACCTCCGAACGCTCCTTATCTCCAACCACAACCGCCACCGATTCGTTCTGCACGAGAGCCTGGAAAACACGGAGTTCGTCGAGCTGCCTCTCGTAAGGGAGGTCTCCATCCGCGGCTATCTCTCCCAAGCGGTGGACGATCTTCTCTCCAAGCTCGTCATATCCCCCCATGCATGTATCCACGTCTCCTTCCCGCACACTCGTTCGACAATCATCGCACCGCTGCGCGCCAGGCTCTTCCGCGCCACCGACGCGACCAATCACGCGTGTATCGCCTACGCCGTGACCCCGCTGCTCGTCGGCGGAGTGAACCACAAACGGTATACATTTCAAGTTTCTGATTTCGACAAGCGCGTCCAGGTGCTCTGGGAATGGACGCAAGCCGCCGACCAGTCCGCCGACCTCGACTCCGATTGGCTCGTCCCCGACACGCTGGGCGGTGTGCGCCACATGACAATGTCCCTTGACCGCGTCAAGTTGGCGTTCCACGAGTGGTATAACCTCTTCAAGCCTTTCCAGAACCTACGAACAGTACAACTGCATGTCCCAGATGCAAATAGCGGCAGGAACTGCCTCTTCCACACCTTTGATGTGGACGGAGGCGGCAGGCTCGCAACGAATGGTCAATGGCACCGGGTGGCGCTCGCAGTGAGGCTCACCGAATTCACGGAGGGCCCGCCAGGTGACGGGTACTCATATTCCCCAGACGACAACATTGACGCAAACGTCTTCAACCAGCTGTTCGGAGCTGACGATAGGAGACCGCTGGCGGAGAAGAGGAGGGAGTGTTACGATAGTGTGCGTCGCTGGGCGGTACCGCACACGCACACGCACACTGGGTAGTCACGTCCAAGACCGTGCGCGAGCCTAAGAGTTCGGGCACTCTGATGCCAGTGCCGCCCTAACACTTCGCTGTAATGCATTCCGCACTCGTATGCCAATTGGGTTTGATGTTCAAGCAGATTTAGTTGTGTGCGTACCGCTTACTCGTAGTGTTTCCGAGCGGAACGTTACCACCCCGCCTTGTACATATTCGTCATCACCATGGTACTACTTGGCTCATCCGAAAGCTAAGCTGCCGCACACTATGGCTGGGTGATATTGGGAAGGCAGGCACATACCTCCTTACGCTTTCGCACGCAAGTCGCGTATGCCGCGGCACGCATCCGCCTAGGAAAGGGACGGCAGGTGGAGCCTGAGGGCACAGTTATGACGATCGAGTGTGCATTCAAGTTCGTCGCTAGGCAGTACAAATCATACCATAATTCCACGTCGTAGGGAAAAATGCAACCGAAGTCAGGGACGCTGGTGAGATGGCGGTACCGTAAAAGAGCTGAGCATTATCTAGAATATTTTTTGCCCTTACGAAGATACGCAGACGAGTCTCTGTAAGGGCAATCAGCGTCTGTCCCGTTAAGACGGCAAGGAACACTCACATCGCATGCGGCGAGTTATGGTCGATGGTCCCGTGGGGCGACCACGCCGGACGATACAGGATCCAGGTGCCCGCTTTGTGGGTGTGGAGGGGCAGCGCAACGTACTCGAAATACGCGCCGCTTTGCAAGACGCTCACAAGCTCCTGCCCCCGTTCGCAGCGGTCCTTCCCCAGGTCGGCGCGGAGGATCTCGTATCGGAACGAACGGTCTTTGACGTCGACGTTGAGGTAGAGCGCGCGTAGATACTTGTTGAGCTTGAGCGTCTGTGCGATATGCAGCTATAGCAAGAATGAGCGTAAATAAGCCGCTCGGGTGGTCGTGTTCGTGTGCACACTCACGTAGGGGACGGTGTCTTTGAGGGATGCTTTGTATCGGTGCAACTCGATTTCCTGGAGAAGGGGGAACGCCGTTGGAAGATACTGGAGGAGCTCATCCTCAGCGGCGTCGGTCTGATAGACCAGTTCAAGTACCGAGAGTCGAGGGGCGGAGACGCGCTTCAGGATGGCTAGACATTCGGACGCCCTGAGGATTGGGAATATTGCGGGGAGATATCGACGGCTGTAACGAGACGCAAAGTAGTGCCTCGGACTATCACGAAGCGAGAGGGAAGTCAGACCGTCTCCGACACACGAGAAAATCGGATCCTCCGGGTTCGGATACGAGACGGTCAGCGACCGTAGACGGTAGCTGGCATCGGGAAGCTTCTTGAGCAGGAAGGGACGTCGCATCCCTTGGCACTGCATCACTTTGATCGAGAGGGAGCGCAGGTTCGGCATGCGCAGAAGGAGGAGGGGGATGACGCGACATTGGTCTGAATGAGTATATCGCCCAATGAGTGACAACGTATGCATACGCGGCCAGTCCATACTGGCCATCTCCAGGAGCGGCGCCGTCTCGACAGGGAGGGTGACCGACTCGGCGGTGTCGGACATGGCAAGAACAAGCGCGCGGAGGTAGCTCGTCTCGTAGGCGTACGCTGGCTGTATGTTTGTCTTCCGCAACCGGCTTTGCGTCTCACGCCACTGAGATGGGGTGTATATGAATTCTGTGAGCCGACAGCCATGGGATGTCGGTGACAGGTCAAACGGGATGGGGGACGGTGGGGTGCATATCAACGCCGAGTCTTTGTCAATGGAAATGGACGTGACGTTAGGGTATTCCAGGCATTTTGTGAGAGCGTACCAGGGCACGCCTCCTGGGCACAGGAGAAATGTGACGGCATGCACGTTGGGAAGGTAATCGAGCTCGAGACCAAACGGAGGAGGGGTAGGGATTTTGGCGATACTGTTGCAGGAAGCCAATGGCATAGGGACCAGCAAGCCGTCATAGAATCCAGCATC